GTGGTATTGAACCTTATGGTAAAATTTCATGGAGATCCATTCACTTAAACTAAAGTTAGAGTGCGAAAACCAATGTGTCTTCGGACGACGACGACGACGACGATGACGCCAACGTCATACCAATATACGACCAAAAATTTTTTAATTTTTGCGGTCGTATAAAAACTCAAGATTATTAATTGGCATTTTAGGAAATGCTATGAAAATTTTAAAATGCATGTTTTTATTTTTGTGAAACCTATCAGGTTGTAGTTTTCAAAATAATAAAACATCCTATTTAAAAAAAATTTAATTTATAGTATTATAGTAGTGTACTCTATACATTTTACATGTGAAAAATGTTGCCTAGCTATGTATGTATTGGATGTCTGTGTTAATGATAGTGTCTGATAAGATGTTTTCGGCTAGCATCCTTTAACTTAATGTTAGGTTTTTTAGATATTGTGTATATACAGATATTGTACAGGATGGTGACACTGTAATAAAATAAATTATCTTTATCTTTATCTATACAGTCTACAAGTTTTTTCAAACAATTACAGAGTAATTATATGTACCACATCCTTGTTAGAATAATAACTTCTTCTTCAATCAAAGTAGTGTATACATGTATTTACATAAATATAAATGTGATACTGTTATAATAATCAACGGTTATTTCCCATTTCCATAAAAAAAAAAAAAAACAGCACAAAGGAATTTTTGCATTGATTCCCAGAATCATTTTAACTCTTCATATAACTCTAACCCTTTCATGAAAGACTATTTGGCTTTCAACTATATGACAAGGTTTAAACAAAAGCATAGCTCTAATTTTGTATCATATTAAGGTATTAAGGTTACATATAAAGTTAGTAACCAATGATAATAAGAAATGGTTTGAATATTGACATCTACATACAAACTTAATAATTTGATGTAGTGTACAAATAAATTTTCAAGTATCAACAAGCATTCCTAACATTAAATACTTCAATAGATGATTAAATTCAGTCACTTTTATTGTTTTTCCAGTACTGTATGGGCCATAGTTGTTGCTCGTTGTACAGCTCACTTTTTATGTTCGCATTCAATTGCAAGACTATTTGGTGGGAGATTCATTTGAAATTATACCAAATCCCTTTATTATAAACAAACGGACAATCAAGTGGTGTAGAAAGTGTATAAAACCACAAAACGTGTGTATATGAGTCAAATCACTCTGTACTTACACAAATAATAACCTGTTTGATAAATATATACATCAGAACTAAATTTCAAAACATTCATTCTGCAGATTCCTTAATTCTCCTTGGTATCAACTTTTGTGATTTGAGAAAAAAACTTCCCTTTTTAAGGAAATTACATGGTTTCAGCATTTGCTACAGTTCAAGGTAGTATTTGATAAAGTATTAAATTAGTGATTTTCTCCACCCTCAAAGTCAAGAAAAATTGGTATCCAAGAATACTAATAAATCTACAGTATAAAAAAATTACAATATCAATATGATGTATGTTTGTGTAAGCCCACAATTATCTATCTTTCAACTACAAGTTATACTCATTGATATAATCAATGAACTTTCTGCTAGATGCTCAAAACATTCCTCAAGTAACTGTGGGGGGATTAGAACAGCATTACATAACATAAAAGCTTCGCACAAAAATGTCCAGATAATATAGTTATACTATTAAATATGAATCATTTATATATGTAAATGAACTATGTATAAGACAACAATTTAACCTACCTTACACAAGTGTCAGCTTGTAAATGATATAATATTTAACTAAACAAACTTATTGTAAATAATCATTTACTAAAAATGTCTAGCGTAATAAAAACTTGAAACTATAATCACTCATTTTCAGGACCAAGAATGTCTGCGAATTTCAATGTGCATCAAATTTTGTAAAAAAAAATTGAAAAATCTTACATATAACAATATATATATATATATATATATATATATATCAGGGCTTCCAAAACGGTCATATATTCCGGACTTGACCGAAACTTTCATAAAAAGACCGGCTGCTCTCAGCCTCAAACGGTCAAATAGAATTGGTGTGCCACATTTCGTTATTCAAGGCATTTTCATGAAACGGTCATTTCAATTTTTACCAACTATTGATCGATAAAAATGTCCGTTTGGGGCTTTGGGCATGTCCGTTTGGGCATTTTAGTTTATAATTGTGGCAATCTATTTCACAAAGATATTTCGGTCATAATTGGGTTTAATAAAACAGAAGCAGCATATTTCAGATACTTTGAAGTGTCTCAGTTAGTCTAATCCTCTGGGTACATAAATGTACGGCTTGGTCTTTAGCTTGTGTACATCAATAAAAAGTAGAAAAAACACGTTTTCTTTTATTTAAATAACAACAAGCTGTCAAACAATTATCCCTTCAATAAGTTATATTGAAGCCATAAATCATTCACTGATTACAGGTTTGTTACCTTTGATGAGGTGTCCTTAGCTTATCTTTATCAATAGAATTAATGATGCATAACAATGTACATAAAGGTAATCCGGTAAACGAGGTCAAACATGTAAGCGTGTATGGAACAACATCCTATTTAATTACGCTTTATAGATATTATTTTAAATGAGCATTCAGTTTTAAAAGTATCCTGATATTTAAAGTTATTCTTCAAATAAGGATATTTATAAATGAATAAGTATGATATATATTATTTTATTTAACACTGTACATCGTGTTAAATACTGGGGTACTCTCAAGGGGAAAATTTACTAAAATATATAGGAAAAAACCAATGGACAAATTTCAGTCAATAAATGATTTAACTAAGTTAAATGGTGCCGTGATCACTTCTAAATTATATCAAGAGAACAATGCCTGCTCCGAATTTATTCAGACAATTTCCGATGTTATAGAGAAAGAGGTGATGTCCGACGTAAAGTTAAGTCCCGCCGTGGGAATTATGATCGACTAAGGTGTAGTCTAGGTATTGACGCTTTAGATCAACTTATGAGGATAAGCTTAGTAGGTGTAGATGTTAAAGACTTTGACCCTGTTCCTGCTATCCGCAAATGGCAATCCGTTCGTAACCGCCATGTTTATCAGAACAATGTATTTAGCAAGCTCATGAATGTAAAATCTTTAATTAGACTAAATGAACTCTAATCTTGTGCTGTGATCTGTGCTTCTTTTCAATGTGCTCATTGTAATATTTATTGCGTGTGTTTGTGCTCTTCTGACATTTTATTGTTGTTATATGCTTACATAAAATATCATGTTGTTATTCATTAAATTATTTATCAACTGAGTATGTTTTTATTTATTCCTTATTTTCTAAATCAGGTTGGGAAATTGTACAAAGAAAAATGTTATCACTGTTCAGTAGATTTTACACGGTTTAAAACAATATCCTTCATCGGGCCTCCTCAATGTTATCTATAAATACCGCATCAGTTGTAAAAGTCACGTGGTCAGGTAATCAATACACAAAAAGAAAAGTATCACGTGTATTGATGATCAAGTTGTACTGCAATTAAAGCCAACATCAACAGTTTCAAATAAGATGGCCTTAATTTACAAAGTGTTAAGTACTCACAGAGAGAAGATAGATTATATAAACAGAAACAAAAACATGAGAACAGTCAGGTACTGAAGCTGATTGATGCAATGATGGTTACTGTATTACGATACACAGAAAAATGACACAATACCGAGGATAATATTTTATTTATTTTTAGAATGAAGAAAACAAAACAGTTATAAATAATTTTATTGCATATAACACTACTAATTATTTAGACACATATATCAATTTATGCATCCTCTCAGTTACATTTAAGTATCCAGCTGATCATTGACCGTCAAAAATATTTCTTTGAAAAATGTCCGGCTGTCGTCAGGAAATTTTGGAAGCCCTGATATATATATATATAAAAAGTCTAAATTGAAAACAACGTTCAAACCTATGATTGCGTTGGATAAAAACCGCAATTTTTATACGTGTGCATGCAAAACAAATTTCTTGGTAGAGGGGTCTAAATACAGCACAAACAACAATTTCCAAAAGACCAAAAAAAAGTGAAAAGTCTATTTTAACAAAACGCATTTGACTAACAGGTCGAACAACTGATGTTCTTAAACCCTGCTGACTGCCATTGGCGATTGCCAAATAAATTGATCACCAGATCTAACAAAATGGATCTTAATATTAATTAAATACCAAACAGAAAACATTAAACTTGTGGAAAAGATGGTATACCACAAACATGAGGTGCAAAAATTTGTACACCATATCCAGATTTCGACAATAAATGTCCCTTCAGTGATGTTAGGGATCGAAACGGTATTTGGAAGGCCAACATATATATATATATATCATTATGAAGGTGTAATACCACCTAATCATAGTACGTCACATCCGGTTGCATACGAAAATAGGTCCAAAAAAATATTCCCTTGAATTTGACAGTTGTAGGTAATTGATCCTACATTTCATTGCAGTAAAACATTTCTGGGTCATAAACATATATCTTGGGTATTTCAAAGCACCATTATTTTTTTGTTTGGGGTTCCTATAGAATATTTTGGAAACTTGAGGTTACATGGTTACTAAAGCTTGTACACAGGTTAAAAAAGGGGGAAATTTGATTGGTTAACTTCCAGTGATGGTTATTTTCTTATATGCAATGAAATCTTATGTGAAATTTTTTCTATAGTACTGGACAGGATAAAACTTTACTCATGCCAAGTATTTCTTTATTTGAAACAAAAATAAATTCTTCACAATTTTTTGAAAAGTGCAAATTTAACAAAGACTAATAGGGGAAAATCAATGGTGGTATTACACCTGAAAAAAGTCCTATGCTTTATTTACTTCTTATAGTTTAAACACCAAGTGATCCAAAGATTCTTCAATTTTTTTTCTGTTTCTATTTAAAATATCAATCATTTGTTCTGCAAGTGTCATGTTATTAAAAGTCATGCCATTATAGTCTATTTCTATGTGTATGGTTATTAACTACTAAGATCATACTTACAATGGTCTGAGCAAGGTTGGTCCAAACACTATACCTAAGTTACTTGAAGTCATCTGGTTTACACTATTAAAAGACGCAACTCTGAAAAATGCATTTTGATAATACAAACTTTTTTGCTAATGAAAACATGAATAAAATAAAAAGAAATGCTGTTAAGATTTCTCGTTTGAACTGTTTTACATTTGTCATATCAGGGCCTTTTATAGCTTGCTAAGCAGTATGGGTTTTGCTCATTGTTGAAAGCCGTACAGTGACTTATAGTTGCCAACCTTCTATGTTATTTGGGCTCTGGTGGAGAGTTGTCTAATTAGCAATCATGCCAAATCTTCTTATTTTTATATTTATATAAAGGAAGTCATTTTGTTTATCTTTGAATATCATTTAAAATCATGACAAAACAACTTACATACTAGAAAACACAACTAAGATCCATATCATTGTGAAGTTGTTGTATAGAATGCACTAGGATTTTGTACAGGTGTCTTCCATTTATTAAAGTGAAAACTTTTCTAGATGTACATTTCAAGTTTATTTGTAAATTTTTTCAATATAGTCGGGTCTGAGAACCCTTTTACATTATTTGTAATCATAACCTTATTATTACCTTTGTAAATGGTACATTAGCACTCCACAAGTTTTGAAATTGGAATAAGGAAGTTTTGATATTAAAACACCAAGTTTTTCTATTGTTTCATCTAATGTCAAAGCACCTGCAACACTCTCCTGAAATGAAATAATTTTTTATTAATTTTATAAATATTATTGAAGTTTAATTGAAAATTTCAAGAACAAAAAATTCATTTATTCATTTTTTTATTTGTAGAATATTCTGTTTATGGTAGATCTTTAAAAGTATCTGCTTACTTTATTAACAACTTTTAGAGTAGTAAAATAGTTCATTATAGAAATTCATACAATAAATGTAACTTACTTTTGCTAAATGGATAAATTCTGAATACATTTTAAATGTCAATAATGGTTCTGGAAGCTGGAATATAAAACATAATAATAATAATAGTTGAAACCCTTATCAACAAGGAAAACTGTAAAACTTTAAAAACTTGTATCTATTTCATGTAAATTTCACAAATCTGAGTTTCTTGTTATCTGTGAAGCTTGCTTCTGTTAGATGTTCTATATAAGATACAAAGAACTGAAGGATGCAAAAAAAAACCCAATAAGGTGCCTATTCACAGAAGAAAATTTTCTCGTGCATATTCATTTAGAGAATAAGGTTTAAGTACCAATCAACAGGTGTGATTTCTGTTCGGTATTCTTTAATGGGACAATCCTTGTTTTATTGCATTAAAAACTATCAGAAGAAAACATATATCAAAATGAAGTCAGCCATGTTGGTATTAGATTTCTGATGGACAAACTATGAAATGATTAGTTTACTATATTCCTTGATAAGAAATATATATAAATTGGTTGATTGATTATTACTTTAGGTTCTGTGGCAAATACAGTTTGTTCTTATGATGTGCTGTTACACCCTCATTCCAGGTCAGGGGATAGTCGAGTGCTCACAAACATGTTAAACCCCTCCACATTCTATATGTACATGTCCCAAGTCAGGAGCCTGTAATTCAGTGGTGTCTTTTATATTTGTTTAACGTTTATTGTTTTGTCAAAAATCAGGCCATTGGTCTTCTTTTTTGAATTGTTTCACATTTTGTCATGTCTTTTATAGCTGACTTTACTCATTAATGAAGACTGTACAGTGATCTACAGTTGCTTAAATCCACATCATTTTGGACAGTTTGATAGCTATTTCATTGGCAAACAACATATTTGATATATTTACTCAGGATAAAAACATATGAATATGATACTAACCTGCCTAAGATAAAGCTTTAATACATTAGATATAACATTGGGGTGTTCTTCTGACAGTTCTATCGAATCAGGATCCTTTTCAAATCTCTGACATAGACCCTCTACTTTACTTTTAACACCTGACACTCTGTATATACCCTGAAATTAAAACATTCTAGTGAATTGAAGGAGAACAGAAAATAAACATACATTTGACCTTGTTTTACTTGATTTGTCTAATTGGATGCAATGGCTAGGTGAAATTTAAATTTTTAATGGTTTTCTAAGTTTTGAAATGTAAGAAACCATGTTTGCTAGTGAGTACAAAAAGTAAATTCAATATGAAATCTGATCATATAGAAAATAGTAAATTGGAGCAAAATCCAAAACAGTTTATATCTCAGTGAAGAAAAAACAAAAGTTGGGGAATACTAAAACAAATGACTTTTTATGATCAAGTATCATCAACAAATCCTTTATGATTATTATCAGTGAAATTAAATTAAAGACGGCTTTGACTTTTCTAATTATGAAAAAAAACATAGGTTCTTGATGACATCTTTAACATGACTATTCTTAATAAAACTTGTTCTGTTGATCCTGAAAAAAAAACCATTTAACACTTGCATATTTACCCTCAGAGTGATTCCCCTTTGTTCTACTTCCTTTAAACACCTTTTAACAATAGGAGGAACTGCTGATTTCCATTGTTCCACCTGCTCTTGGAAGTCTACACCAAATGTTGTATTCCTTCGTTTACCACCTCCCTAAAACATTACAGTACAAATGACACAATCTAATCCACCTTTAAAATAATATACAGTAAAGAAAAAGTTATCAAGATATGGAGTCTATATAACATTGAATTCATCTGTGAAATAGCATTCAAATTTGCCTTTTATTATCATGTGTAGAACTGTTTCAATATAAAACTAATATGATCATTTATTTGCATTTTAAGATTTAACTTTAAATACTGTACCTTAGTCATACCCTGTATGGATACATCTACACCTTTCAATATACATGGTGGTATCTGTAGAAAACCTGTAAACAAACAAATTTAACCATTTTATACAAGAGATTGTACAAGAGCATTTAAATCATGTAGCTATACCATAGACAATATACAGAGAGAATAAATTTATAGAATATATATCTTGTTTCTGTTATTTCTGTATGAACAAGCTTATGCAGATCTAACAAATTATTTTCAGATATATATTTGTATAAATGTAATACAGTACATTCCGGTTATTTGCATAGCCTATTTGTCAGACAAAATTATGCAATAAAGCGGAGTATGCTTATATCCGAAATGCCAAATTACGGAGTCAAATAACATCGATAGAACAGATCAGTAAAGGAAATCCCTGAAGAAAGATGAACGTCTATAATCCAATTACAACATATTGAATGTTGATTTATTCTAATAAAAGTTATATGTCTAGTGTCATACATGTTATTTTATTTTGTATTATTTCAATAAAGATTATAAACACATTTTGTTTTAGTTTATTTGCGTACCGACGTTTCCTTTACCAGTTTACCTGGGATACGAAAATAAATCGTTCTAAAAATAGATTTGTTTCTATGACCCGTATGTACAATGTACATTGTTATGCTTTGATTACACAGTTTATAATCATTTTAACAATAGATGTGTACTAAACTGCCTTTGATATACAATATTTACAGCTTGCAGAGTGAAGTAACACTGTTTATTTAACTTATTTAGTTTCGTATATGCAAAGCAGTAATGGGGCCCTGTACGGGTTATTTGCTGGACACGAGTATTGAAAGTGAAAAAATATAATCATTAGAAGTAAATGCTCTTTTCAAAATATATTAAAATTAAATGATTGATATATAAAATTCTTTAACCATATATAAATGCCCTGTAATATTTAACATAAATGCAGATCACCCCCAGCCCAATTACGAGAGTTCACATTGGATAATGATCGATAATTAGCAGGCGTTATTGTTTTTGAATTTCACCCCAAATGTAATCTATGGACAATGTTTGAAATCCAATCAATTATTTACACCTTTTAGATAGAATGGTCAGTGTTTTTACAACAATTACCTGTTTGACATTTTTATGACCTCGAGGCTTAAAATAGAACATGGGAAACTTTACCTGTGTAGATATCGAGGTTTATTTTTAAATCAAATTAAATCATATAAACACGAAAGAAACTGTTTTAAAACTTTATTTGAATAACACAAAAGTAAATATGAAATAATAATGAAAATAATGATGCATTCAAGAAAAATATACTCACCAACTTGCCGTTTCCGGTCAAAAATTTTGACAGATTTAACAAAGCATATCTAGATGGCGATAATTTTCTATGCAATAAACCGAAAGGCCACTTGTAGAGCTATGCATATAACCGGACAATTTAACATTAGATGAATGGGAAATGGTTTTGTGCAGGAGAAAACTATGCAATTAACCGAATTATGCTATTAAGCGGTATGCAATTAAGTGGAGTCGACTGTACTTACAATTTACAATGGATTTTAATTTATTATATTTGCATGATAATTTGTTCAAAAATTACGTCCTTAAAAACAAAAGGTACAATATTTCAAAAAGAAAATAAAATGCTCCGCAGGGCGCAGCTTGATACGACCGCAGAGGTCGAACCCTGAACAGTTGGGGCAAGTATGGACACAACATTCAAGCTTGATACAGCTCTGAATTTGGATTGTGATTAAATATTTGACACAGCATAGGTTTCTGACACAGAATGAATGTGGTCTAAGAACTTAAAAATTTTAAATTGGACATTCACCTATTATGGTCCAATATCCAAAATCTAAATACATGGTTAGATTCAGCATATCAAAGAACCCCAAGAATTCAATTTTTGATGAAATCAAACAAAGTTTAATTTTGGACCCTTTTGATCTCAATGTGGACAAAGTTGATAACGGGGCCCAAAAATCAAAAATCTAAATACATGGTTAGATTCAGCATATCAAAGAACCCCATATATTCAATTTTTGTTGAAATCAAATAAAGTTTAATTTTGGACCCCGATTTGGACCAACTTGAAAACTGGGCCCATAATCAAAAATCTAAACACATGTTTAGATTCAGCATATCAAAGAACCCTAAAAATTCAATTTTTGTTAAAATCAAACTAAGTTTAATTTTGGACCCTTTGGACCTTTATGTAGACCAATTTGAAAACGGAACCAAAAATTAAGAATCTAAATACACGGTTAGATTCGGCATATCAAAGAACCCCAATAATTCAATTTTTGATGAAATCAAACAAAGTTAAATTTTGGACCCTTTGGACCTCAATGTGGACCAATTTAAAAACGGGGCCCAAAATCCAAAAACTTAATACACGGTTATATTCAGCATATGAAAGAACCCCATATATTCAATTTTTGTTGAAATCAAACAAAGTTAAATTTTGGACCCCGATTTGGACCAACTTGAAAACTGGGCCCATAATCAAAAATCTAAATACATGGTTAGATTCAGCATATCAAAGAACCCCATATATTCAATTTTTGTTGAAATCAAATAAAGTTTAATTTTGGACCCCGATTTGGACCAACTTGAAAACTGGGCCCATAATCAAAAATCTAAATACATGGTTAGATTCAGCATATCAAAGAACCCTAAAAATTCAATTTTTGTTGAAATCAAACTAAGTTTAATTTTGGACCCTTTGGACCTTTATGTAGACCAATTTGAAAACGGAACCAAAAATTAAGAATCTAAATACACGGTTAGATTCGGCATATCACAGAACCCCAATAATTCAATTTTTGATGAAATCAAACAAAGTTAAATTTTGGACCCTTTGGACCAATTTAAAAACAGGGCCCAAAATCCAAAAACTTAATACATGGTTAGATTCAGCATATTAAAGAACCCCAAGAATTCAAGAATAAAACCCCATTGAAATTGATCAAGAAATAAGCAATTTATACAAAGTATATTCTTTTGCACAATACTGTGCAATTGAATATTTCTTGCTATTGCGCAATACTGTACAATTGACAATTTCTTGCTATTGCGCAATATTGTGCTATTGGATATTTCTTGCTATTGCGCAATACTGTGCAATTGAAGATTTCTTGCTATTGCGCAATACTGTGCAATTGAAGATTTCTTGCTATTGTGAAATACTGTGCAATTGAAAATTTCTTGCTATTGCACAATACTTATTGTATAATAATTTAAACATCCTGTTTGGTGTGTATTTCCTACCATATCATTATTATTTGCTTTTAAATATAAATCAGAAATAACCAACTTAAAATGGAAAATTTTAAAAGAAAAAAAAAAGGAAAAAAAGAAAAAAAAAGAAACCCCCCCCTCCCCCCCCAAATTTTTTGAACCCCCTTATGATTCATCACCCCCAAACTCAATCCCAGCCTTCCCTTTGTGGTATGGTATCTTGCAGTACAATTTCAGAGAGATCCATACAATTGAACACAAGTTATTGTCTGGAAACTAGAAAAATGCTTATTTTTGGCCTCTTTTTGGTCCCCAATTCCTAAACGTTTCGGCCAATTACCCCCAAACTCAATTCCAGCTTTCCCTTTGTGATATGGAACCTTGTAGTACAATTTCAGAAATATCCAAACACTTACACACAAGTTATTGTCATGAAACTAGAAAAATGCTTGTTTTTTGCCCCTTTTTTGGCCCCTTGTCTTAAAATTTTGAGGCAATTACCCCCAAAATCAATTACAGCCTTCCCTATGTGATATGGAACCTTGTGGTACAATGTCAGAGAGATCCATACACTTACTCACAAGTTATTGTCTGGAAGTTACAAAAATGCTTATTTTTGGCCCCTTTTTGGCCCCTAATTCCTTAACTGTTGGTACCATAACCCCCAAAATCAATCCCAACCTTCCTTTCGTGGTATTGAACCTTATGGTAAAATTTCATGCAGATCCATTAACTTAAACTAAAGTTAGAGTGCGAAAACCAATGTGTCTTCGGACGACGCCGGACGACGCCGGAAGACGACGACGAAGACGACGACAACGACGACGCCAACGTCATACCAATATACGACCAAAAAATTTTCAATTTTTGCGGTCGTATAAAAACTAGATGCTCTCAAGAGCCTGTGTCCCTCACCTGTATTTACTGATGCTTTGGAAATCATGTAAAATAAGGTTAAAATCATAATTAATAGTATTAGATATTAGATATTATAATGATATCTAAGATAATAACAAAAAACTGCAAAGTTTTTGTAAAATTACTAACTCAGGGGCAGCAACCCAACAACGGGTTGTCGGATTTGTCTGAAAATTTCAGGGTAGATAAATCTAAATCTGATGAACATTTTTGCCACCTGTCAGATTTGCTCTAAATGCTTTAGTTTCAGAGATATAAACCAAAAACTGCATTTTACCCCTATGTTCTATTTTTAACCAAGTCGGCCATGATGGTTGGAAGGCGGGGTCATCGGACAAATTTTTTAAACTAGATACCCTAATAATGATTATGGCCAAGTATGGTTAAATTTGTCTCAGTAGTTTCAGAGAAGAAGATTTTTGTAAAAGATTACAAAAATTTACAAAAAATTGTTAAAAATTGACTATTAAGGGCAATAACTCCTAAAGGGGTTGACTGACTTATTTGTAGATCTTACTTTGCTGAACATTATTGCTGTTTACAGTTTATCTCTATCTATAATAATATTCAAGATAATAACCAAAAACTGCAAAATTTCCTTAAAATTACCAATTCAGGGGCAGCAACCCAACAACAGGTTGTCCGATTTGTCTGAAAATTTCAGGGCAGATAGATCTTGACCTGATAAGCATTTTTACCCTATGTCAGATTTACTCTAAATGCTTTGGTTTCAGAGATATAAGCCAAAATCTACATTTTACCCCTATGTTCTATTTTTAGCCATGGCAGCCATCTTGGTTGGTTGGCGGGGTCATGGGACACATTTTTTAAACTAGATACCCAAATGATCCAGCTGGCCTAGTTTCAGAGGAGAAGAATTTTGTAAAAAGCTAACGACGACGACGACAACGACGTCGGACGACAAGTGATGAGAAAAGCTCACTTGGCCTTTCGGGCCAGGTGAGCTAAAAAGTGGGGAACAAATAACAGATATGCACATAATTTGACAGACTAACCTCCTCCATGGTCTCCTTCAGTGAGTTCATCTAATGATTTTGCTGTTTTGAGTGTACGTCGGCCTGTTTGGTGTGGACTGTTACTTGGTGAAGATTTACTGCTACCACTATCTGTATCACTACCAACAGGCCATGCCTTCACTGCTACCCTGTATTTATCTACAATGTCAAATGTTTGTATATTACAGTAAAATCTCACATAATATTAAAATAAGTTTTCACTCTTGAAAGTTATTATATCCGTTTTTTCAATTTTTATTTCAGGGTTTGATTTTTTCTTAAAGAGTTCAATTGAAAATAAGAGGCTGTAAAAATGACAGCAGAACAGGTTTTTATTACATCTATTAGTGTCATTGTTAAAGCAATGAAAGGGCCATAACTCATAAGGAAAAATGTGAAATTCATCAATATCAAACTTTACTTAATTTTTTCATCTGTAACAGCATCTTGAAATTTGAAAAGTATTGGTTGAACTGTTCTGAACTTATTGCATAGAAATGACTTGATATGCTGTTTTACAATCAATCAAGTTTCATAAATTCTAAACATCAAAACTGAAATTGTCAATCTCAAACTTGACCTCATTTTGTAATCAGTAACAACATCATACAATAATAACTGATTACCGATGAAATATAGTAATGTACTGAGTGACTTATAATACCTTTTCTGTCCCCTGTAAATGAAGGGGATTCATCTTGTGAATGATGATCAGAAGAACCTGACCCTGTAGACTGTGTACTGGTTTTCCTCCCAGCATCTCTGGAAAGCATAGAAATATATGTACTTAATAATATGAAAAATGTTTTAACTTTGTGATAACTGTCTTCCTGTTCTTTTTTCTTTTGTTTAATCATACATGTGTAGTATCTAATGTTTTGTTTGTGTGTTTGTGTGTATGTCATTATGGTATGTGTATTGATTTGTCTTAAATGTACTGTTTTGTTTTATGCAGTCGATACATAAGCTCTTCAGCGCTTATGTTATTTGTAAATTGTGCAAATCTACTCTAAAAATAAACTTTTGACTTTGAAAAAAATAAATAAATAAATGGGGAATGTGTCCATGGGACACTAATGATGCCCCCGCTTGCATATAAGTTATAAAGGGACATAACTCAAGAACAGTAAAAGTGACACTACCCAAATTCAAACTTAATCTGAGTGTTGTGGTAATAAGCATTGTCTATAAGTTTCATAACATTTGGTTGAGGAAAACTTAAGTTAGAGAACAGAAATGAATAAACTGCTTCGCTGAGCGCAGCTGGATATGCCTGCAGAGGTCCAACCCTGAACAGTTGGGGCAAAAAGGGACGCAATATTCAAGCTTGATACAGGTCTGAATTTGGATTGTAATTAAATATTTGACATATTATAGGTTTCTGAATAAATGAAGTCAAAGAACTTGAAATTGGTTATAATTATATGAATTAAATTTATATTCAATTAAAGATTTCTTGCTGTTGTGCAATACACTATGCTGTTGCACAATACTTAGTAAATCTGTTGTCAGACTATAAACAAATAAAATTTATAAAATTCTAAAGGGAGCTTACATCAATAGATATAATCAATTCACCAAAGTTTCATAAGAATTGCTGAAAGCATTTTTGAGTTATTGTCTGAAAACTGGAAAATCCCCCCTTTTTTAATGAATAAAACCCCATAACTTGAAAATGTAAAATCTAAAATATAAAATTATAAATGGAACTTACATCAATAGATATCAACAATTCATCAAAGTTTCATAAGAATTGCTGAAAGCATTTTTGAGTTATTGTCAGAAAACTGGAAAATCCCCCTTTTTTTATGAATAAAACCCCGTAACTTAAAAACATAAAATCTAAAATTTATAAAAATCAAAAGGGAGCTCATGTCAATAGATATAAACAATTAACCAAATTTCTTGCAAGTTGGTGAAAGCATTCTTGAGTTATTGTCCGAAAACTGGAAAATCCCCCTTTTTTTAATGAATAAAACCCCATGACTCGGAAACGTAAAATCTAAAATTTATAAAAAACGAGAAGGGAGCTCACATCAATAGATATAAACAATTCACCAAAGTTTTATGCAAATTAGTTAAAGCGTTTTTTGAGACATGCTGACGATGGACAGACGGACAGATGGACAGACGGACATACGGACAACGGTATACCATAATACGTCCCGTAAACGAGCGTAAAAAAAATCAGCAATTTTTCCATTTGTAAAGAGGCATAACTCTAGAACGGTAAAAGTCACGCCACCAAAATTCTCACTTGATCTGTGTTTTGTGGTAATAATCATTGTGTATAAGTTTCATAACATTTAGTTGAGGCAAACTTAAGTTAGAGAACAGAAACCAATTTCAGGACCTACGTACAGACAGACGGACAAGGATAAAACTGAATGCCCCCTACGCTGCGGCAGGGGCATAAAAATATGAATTTAAAAGAACACACAGGGTTCTCACTAATGATTTTTGAAGTCGAGTACAGGGACTCGTCATTTTTTACCATGGGGAGTCCAACAGTGAGAAGATGAAATTTTATTACTATATATTTTATTATTTCAGTATCTATGACAAAATAGAACAAGGAAATGACATTAAATTTAGATTATTTTGAAACTTTTGTTATACAATGATGATATTATTGCTCATCTGATACATTATTTTACTATATTGATTCATCTTTGGACTCACCAGTTTTGAAAATGATGTGTCCAGACAGATTTTCATGAGTCTAAGACTCATGGACTGGCCTTAGTGAGGCCCTGATAACAGTGTACTTTCATGTTATTAAACTTAACTTATTATTTCTAATAGTGCTAGGGGCCTCGGTGGCCAAGTGGTCTAAGTAGTTCTACTACTGTAATCACTAGCCAGTCAACACTGAGGTTGTGAGTTCGAACCCCGCTCGTACGGGTGCACTCGACTCCAATCTTAATTGACTAGGATTGTCAGTATTCCTTTCGAAGGTCGGTGGTTTTCTCCGGGCACCCTGGCTTCCTCCACCTATAAAAACTGACCGCCACGAAATAGCCCAAATGTGGCGCTTAAAAGTGGCGTTAAAACACCAACAATCAATCAATCAATCTAATAGTGCTAGAAGGGTACTTAAAATGTCATGTCAATATATGTGTATCGAGTTGTTAAAAAAATTTAAAATGAATAAAAGCAAACTGATATTTATCTAAGCTTACCTAGCACCGTTTATATAAGGTTCAAATGCAAATGGTTCAGCTATCATACTATTTTTATCAGTAACAGGCAATCGTTTAACAAACTCGCCATATTGGAAACCCACTTCATACTGTTTACTAGTCTCTGATATTGTGTGGTACTGTAAATATAAACAATTTATGTGTGACTATTGACTATTGACATCATAAACGATCACTTTTCCATTGTGGCGTCAGATATTTTCTATTATGACGTCAAAATTTTACGGGAACCTTTGTGATGTCCAGTAATGGCGGACAATAGCGATAAGGTGTATTAATAATAATATAGAAGTCATGTAGTTATAATCAACTTAAAAAAAACTAAATATTGAGTATTCCCATTCATAGTTTATTCATAATGACTTAATCCACCAAAATTGGTACTTTACAAAAACAATTGAATCATAGTACAAGAAGTACTAACCTGTACAGGTATAGGAGCCGTCACAGTTTGTAGTAAATGGAAGTATTCTATTGTAACCTAAAAAGAACAATTTATATTATAAAACATCATAAAAGAGATCTATATTTTTCTAATTCTGTGTGCATTTAAACAGGTTCAAACCAGTTTGATAAATTTTGATGAACCACATGTTGATTAAATTTCTCGTTTAATTTCCAGCCATATCCATTCAGAACATTGTACTAAACATTTTCAATCATATCATTAGATAAACAGATTCTACCACTTTACCCCATTGACTACAATATTTATCATTTCTGGATACTCTGGGTAAAATGGTAGAATCTATATTTACTCTGCCAAGTACAGCTATCAAAGACAATAATATTTAAACCTAAAATTAACATTATTTAAGCTGTTTAAAAGTTTATATCTTATACTATGGGTATGTAGTCATGTGATAACTACTGAGAAATGAATATAGAAATAAGACTGCACTTACTGATTTTATTACTTGATCACACAGAAATATTTGCTCCCTTATTTTCGCTAATAATTCTGTCTGTAAAAAAAGGAAAGTATGATTAATAATTCAACAATACTTGATGAAATCGGGATATTTCCAAAATTAAACATGTGCTCTAGTCATCTTTACCTATAAGCTTTATCTAATTTTTTTAATGGATTTAACATTTTAGCAAATGTTTACTCTCTGTAGAATGCTATAAAGCAATATACAAAAACTTGGTATTTTAAGTGATACTCATTTTACCAAAGCCACTACTAAATGTCTGTATGAATTTGTGAGAACAATACATTTACAATTCAAAAAGCTATAAATAGTTTATCAAATATACAATATTTAAATATCACAATGACAAACACTTTTAACAATTAAATTTTAAAAGACTTCTTGCAAATATAATGTATATTCTGGAATCTTTCAGATGAGAATTTTATACACCTGTTTGGGATATTCATGTCCTTTTCATTGTGTCGTTAATCACATTATTTTTTCTTTAAATAAAATATAAAAAGGTATACCATAAGGGAAAATATCAGGCTACTTTAATGGCATTTTCTTAGTCCCTACACAATGCATTAGTATAAATATTAGCCCTCTTCAATAAAAACCGTCAATTATGATGTTAAAGTGACAACATAAACAAAAGATATCTGGTTCAAATCAAATTACCTGTTTTTACATTTTTATTCATCCATTTTAAAAAGAGCATTATTTAAAAATATAACAATATATCTTCGTTTTTTATTTCATTCTTGTTACATTTTGTTCCAACTGCAATGCTAAGTGCACAATATTGTTTTATCTGTTACAGTCAACTCAATATATGTTATTTCTGCCTTAGTAACATATAACTAAATTGACGTCATTTACCTTTGTATTCTCTAACTCTGTCTTCCTAGTGTTAGCCTCTACCACACATGCTTTGTATGTTGTCTCTGCTTCTGCTGCCTAAAAATCATAAACATATGCAATACAGCAAATTCAGAAATTTTTTGAAAGCTTTTATTATTGCAAAATTGTGACAATATATGTTTTCACAAAAATAAAAAAATTTAATTTTGATAGCATTATTTGTATGCAGCACTTCCTAAAAGAATGATCATTAATCTCACAATTTTGGGCAATTGTCCAACAAACGCAATCATAAAAAAAAGGGTCATAAATGCATGTAAAAGTGACTAAATTTATAGTAACTTGGAGAAAATATTAAAGAAACAAATGGAATATGCTAGCTAACTAGTAGCATTTACCAGTAATGTTATTCTAGGTGGCTATGTATTTGAATTAAACTCAAAACTTTTGATTTAGAAAAGATGATACAAATATTTTTTCTCCCCAATAAGGTATCATATAAGAAGGAATAAAATCATCTTACAAGTTCAGAGTTAAAACAGATAGAAAATAAATAATAACAATGATTGGGTACAACTCATATCTTTTCGTAAGAATTTTATTTTTTACATGACCATTTACAAACGGGAATGTTGGTTAAATACGGACAAGGGCCATTATTCTGTTGAAAATCAGAATAACCAAAAGTCATTTCAAAGCAGAAATATATTCTTATTTAAATAAATGCAAGAAAAGTACAGTCTGAAAAAAAGTTGTAAATGTTAAAATAATTATGAACAGACTAATTAAACCTCCATCATAGCGATAATTAATTAAATCTACCACCTTAGTCTAATCTGAGCATCTACTCCAAAGTTTAATCTCAATCACCACTATGGTAATGTTACTGTCTTAATTTATGTTAATAGGTTTAATATTTCATATAGATAGTAGCTTAGTACACCCATAATAATTAGTTGTTAATTAGGAATCAATGGAGGAAGAATATACCTTGTGAAATACTTTCTGAAAATAGCAAAGTTATCAAAGTTGACAAAGCATCTGGTATGATATTGTCTTTACAGGTAACACAGTTATTTACGAATGTATGATTTTTTTTTTTCTTTTAACATGGCAAATGACATGCTTAATATGCTACAATGAAAATGTTACAACTATCTATTTCATAATAATTTTAAATAAATAAATTTGGTGTATTTACTGTCTTCTGATTGGTTAAAAGTATTACCTTTATTTTCAATGTTGTCAATTTTTATGGCGACACGCCCACTCTGACATTGTGTATTCATATGCCAACATGTGTGTACATTGTTATTGTTAATATAAATAATATAAAAAGCTCTTTGAGCCTTATTTTTGATAGAAATTTATTTATAATGAATGACAATAATTTATTTTGAATTTATTGAACCATAAAATTAATTTTTGACTCTTAACATTTTACACAATCCGCTTCGCGGATTATTCAATGTGAAGAGTCAAAAATTAATTTAATGGTTCAATAAATTCAAAATAAATAATAGCCATTCATTAAATATGTTGAACAGTAACAGTTTTCAAAGAAAAATATAGAAGCTAGGAATATGCATCATGCATTCAAAAGCTGTGTGAATTCCACTACAATTTGTCATACAATTATACAAGTTATTATTACAACTAATTTCACCGTAACAAATATGATTGAACAGGCTGTGTACTACAACAAATTCCATTTATAACAAGGAAACAAGCATTTACTGTGGATTCATTCGCTTTCGTTATTACCAATTTTGTGGATTGAGGAAAACTTGCATTTTAATGGATTTCTGATTTCATGAAATTGTCAAATAAAATTGAGATAGAAACTGGGGATGTGTCAAAGAGACAACAACCCAACCAAAGAAAAGAAAACAGCCCAAGGCCACCAATGAGTCTTTAACACAGCAAGAAAATCCCACACCCTGAGGCAGGCTTCAGCTGGCCCCTAAATAATAAGGTATACTAGTTCAGTGAAAATGGACGTCATACAAAACTCTGAAACATTTAAATGAACCAAAATTTAAAAAAAAAACATACAAGACTAACAAAGCCCAGAGGTTCCTGACTTGGGACAGGTGCAAAAATGCTGTTTGTTTTCAAATCTTTTGAAAATGTGTACTTCATTAAACATTTAAGTTCGTGGATAACCTATACAGACAAAAATCACACAAATTAGTATCCCATATTTAATAATGAATCCACAGTATGCCTCATTTGGGTTGAGCTTAAGTTTTGAAAACATTTGTTCTGGTAAATTAATTTTTGATGAGGAATCAAGATGAAAATCTTCCAAAGTTTATCTTTCATGAATAGAACACAATTATATTATACAGCTTTGTCAGATCAGGTGAAATGTGTAATGTATTGGAAGTTGCAACATTCAGTCAAAATAATGACATTCATTCAGCAGGCATGAAATATCTGTCAACATTTGAAATTCAGCTTCTTATCATATGAACACAAAAATAATAGCCAAATCATTTTTAAGTAGTAAGTAGTGATTCTTACTCTGTGCATAGCATCATCTTCTAACTTTCTCCGTTTGTCCATCTTTGTCAAAGCACTGGCACTACTCTGACTCAACATATCACTCTCCAGCTTACTGGCTTGTTCCTTGGCTTTCTCATATTCATGTTGTCGTTGGAAATACATGGCCTGGGCTTTTCTGAGACTTTGTACAGCTTCATGCTTCAAAAAAGAAGGTAACAAATCTGATTTTATTACTGTGGATTCATTATTCATTGGATACTATTTTTTTAGGGTTCGTGGGTACAGGTTAATCATGAATTTAAACGTTGAAGTAAAAATTTATATAGGTTTATAAGCATACTTTGGAAAAACAACAAAATCAAATATCCAAGCAAATGCACTTGTTCCTCAGTTCAAGAAAATAAGTACACACAAAATGAAAGAATCCAAAGTATTTCCATATAAATGTCCACACTTAATTGACTTATATAAAATATGGAAAGGTCAAAATTTTCATTATACAAACTTCTTACTAAGGTTCATGTGATTACTACTTTGACAGATAATGGATCATAAAAATTTTACACAATCCATAGCTAACGACTGTTAATATATATATTGGCTTTCTCCTATTTTAAAATGAATTTTTCTAATAATAAGGGCAAATTGTGATGTTTTCAATTGAACTAAAAAACAAGCAAAGCACAAATTTCATTTGAGATGTGGAATAAATGACCATTACTGCTATATGAATCAAACAAACATAATGTTGATGAAAATAATAAATATAAATTCATACCATTTTCTTAACTTCTTTCATCCAAGAATCCTTCACAGTTTTTCTCATTTTGTCATGTTCCAACCTTCTGGCTGTCAATGGCTGTAATAATGAATACATATAAATAAGTTTTCAGTCTGATTTTAACAGAGGACTAAAGCTTTCTTAAGACTCGTATAAAACAGAAGCTATCAATCATTAATATTTAATCAGTAATGTGCAGACAACCCTTAATACTTAATTCATATTTCTTAATTTTGAGGATTGTAAATATGAAAAGTATAATACCTTTTTTTCAAAATTATCTCCCCTTTAAAGAATATGATTATCTTGATGACTTGGAAATGCAAAATTGCTTCAGAGTAGATAATATTCCTGGCTGATGTACTTAAATTTTCCATATCATTTACAATTACAAGGGTCTTCACTCCTGTAAAAACTTTGAAGCTTTCGTGCAAGAGGCCAATAAACAGAAACATGCACCATGACAGCCTCCATATGGAAGCTAAAAATATAAAAATACTTTCAATTATTTATACTTTTTTCTGAATTTAAGTGCAATGCTCACCAGATGATTCCAGAAAAGATTTTTTTTTAACTTACCTCAACAAATTTTGAAGTCTGTAACAAAATTTGTGTGGCCTGACATGTACTAGCATACTCTATATCCTACAAAAATAGCAATAAGGTCATTTAATTGTGAATTTATATATATTTGTTAACTAAGAAATATGTCTTGCTTGCTTTCTAGTGAAATTAAAAAAACAGTAATTTGATAAACTTTCTTTTTACTGAATGTATATAAGAACATATTTTCCTGATTTTATAAAATTGCATGTACAGCTTGGAATACTAGAATTCCTTAAATAATATTTGTTTGTGAATGTTTCCCCATGCCTTCAGACTCTTGTGGGGTCTTTTAACAGTAGATCAGAAATATACCATAGTAAGATAGGGGTATCATCTACATTGCAATTCATTAATGTATAGATTGTGGAGGATTTAACCCCCAAGACAACTTAGTTCTTATGAGCTTATGTTTGAGAATTAGAGAATGTCCCTATAGCCACATTCATAGGAAAACTCGGGGTTAACATCAATCAGATAAGAACATAACAAAAAGCAACCAGAAATTGATGGTTTGGGGTTTTGCGCATTTTTGAAGGAAGTATGTGACCTATAGTTGCTTACATCCATGTCATTTGGACTCCAGTGGATTCAATCTGAATCATACCACATCTCCTTATTTTATTATTAACAGTGAAAAGTCATTAGACTCAATAAATCAATAAATTAAAATTACCTGTGATAATACTGTACAATACACAGATTGTAAAGGTAAAAAACCCTGAAAGCATAAACAGTTGTAACATATATATAGCTGTTTTTAAAGTGTATTTCTGTTAAATAATCAATACAGATATGTGTGTAATAAAGATTAAAGCTAATTACTTATACATGAAGGATGTACTTAGGTGAGGTTTAGGAATTTTTGTCAAATGTTCGAACTCCTTGGTTTTTTTCCTATGATACAGGGTAAAATATTTTGCCCCATAACACCCATTTTTCTTTTTCATATAAGTCTTAAAATATCTCATAAAAGGTCATTTTCCAAAATTTAGGCAGATTCTAGATTTCTTTTCTTTCGATTTGAGACCCAAATAATACCAATGCAAATATAAGATAAAAGTCTGAATCAGCCTTTTCCCGCCATTTAAAAAAAAATTAAATATCTCGAAAAGGAGCTCCATAACCTATCAATATTTTACGCTTATTTTGTTCCTTAACTAATGCTCTTCTGACTTATAGTATCAATTTTGAATTCTAGATTTTTTTAATTTCACCTAAGTACATCCTTAAATATATCAATACTGAATAATGTCTCATATACAAGAGTTCTGGTTAAATTTACACCAGCAAATACTTTGATAACCCTGAAAAAATGACTACATTTACTAAGTTAAATATATTTCGATGGTTACTTTCCAATCACATGTCTTAAAAGAATAAGAAAAGTTTTATATGCAAGAAACAAATAGTTAAATAAAATAATGTCCAAAAAGAGCATGGGAATCTTTTATTTGTGCAAGATATTCTTCTTCTTTTGACCTTATTATGCTGCATTTGACAGTTTTTTTACTTGACAACTAGACATAATTTCTTAAACTTATGAACAAATTTTCAATTTTCAAAACAGAGCCCTACAACAACCTATATTTCTTCAATATTATGTTGTTGTCAGGAGAAAGAATGATTCTCTCACATGGGATAATTAAAAACATAATAAGTGCATTAAAATAGTTCACCTCTTCTGTTAAAACAGGTCGCATTGTCTGTGCTAGTCTCGCCAAGTTTTTAGAATACTCTGTTTCTGTACAAAGACAAACACTTAGATTAAATAAATAGCAAAACTATGGAATATTATTATTTTAGAGAAATAAAGCCAAACAATACTAGTTTTTGCAGGTGATTTTATTGTTTACTTCAAATTAAGAACTTGACTTTATTTGATGTTTTTTTTTAACATATCATCAAAGAAAAAAATTATTCCACATAATCAGCTAGAAAGTAGAAAGTGCAAATTGTTAAAAAAAAAATTATTTGTCAAAATAAGTTTACAGCATTATTTCAGACATTACTTGGTTAAAATCAATTTTCATTGGTCTAAAAAGGTCAAGCGAATAAAAATCTGCTATAGGCAGACACATGCAGGTACCTTTGAAATTTTTAATGATTCCTCAAGATCACAAAAAAAATTCTGCAGTATATTTATTTTAAAAAAAGTAAAAAAATAACTTTCAAGAGAAGAATTTCTTTAGTGATAATGAAGTATTACCTAAATGAGCCTTGCGTTCAATATAGGAGGTAATATCTTTCATGTACTTGGACCAAGCCTTTGCCCTCTGTAATGCTACGTCTACTCCTGCTTCTAATTGTGACAACACTCTGTCAATTTCATATGTTGATAACTGTTTTACTGGAAATGTACAATATTCACATAACTTAATCATAAAAGAAAAATGTTACAAGATAACTTATCTTAGACAACTTCAAAGGAATTCATAAAATATATTCAAAACTATGAGCGAAATTTTAAATTTTGTATTGCTCCTCAAGCAAATTTAAACCATAAATGCTCAAGAGATTCTTCTGAAAAATTGAGTTCCTGGCAGTTTCCTTTCATCAATCACCTAGAGTTCAATAAAAAAAAATTCTTCATGTAGTTTCTGAGGGGATTTTTGAAAAATTGACGAATTCCTTTTGATCAGAATAGTAAGAACATTATTGGTAGAGGATCTAAATTTCATCATTCTTGCCTTGTAAGGTTAAAATTGTACGTGTATATTCAGAGAAGAAAATGAAAATGTGATTTTTAATAGGGTTTTAATGGTAAATACACACCAACAATGCTGCCCATGTTTGCTATCCAATTAACATTTATTATGATGTTTTGTAGATGGTCTTCCAATCTGACATAATTATTTTTTAAAGTTTAATAACATATTGCTTTGTAGTTCCACAGAAGATTTTTGAATATTGACCAATCAGAGTAAAAGATGTCCTCTGGCACCCATGTGTTTTAGTAAATCAAATACAAATGAGAAATTTTGTAAAAGACCTTCTATACAGTATTCCTGCAAAGTCTGGTTAAAATTGGCTAAATGGTTTCAGAAAAGATGATGAAATGTAAAAAGCTTAGACAAAAGATGATGCCGAACACAAAGTAATTTAACTTTTCCATTTGCTTTCAAGATATAAAAATTCATAATGAAAATTATAACAATTTCATTTAATAGTATTTTATAGATGAATAAAATTGAGAATGGAATTTTTACCTTCATTTTGATTATTTGCTCCTTTTTCTTCATCCTTGGCGGACAGTAAATCTTCGCATGACTAGAAAAGTAAAAGCAACAATATATGACAAAATCTGTCAAATATAACATCTCTACAGTGATGTCAGCTCACTGCCGAAAGTGAAAGCAATATTTCATCAACTTGCCAAATAATTGATTTCAAAGGACTGTGAATAACAGTATTTCTTCATTCAAAAAGGTTTTCAAAATAAGCAAGAGATAATACCCTGACTGTTTAATGTTAGTAGAAAATACTTGAGGTATACTCATGATGAGAGAAAATTAAACAAATCAAGTACAAAGTGGTTCAAATTGGTTCTGGGCAGAAAATTTAAATTTCGTATGGTAAAATGGTAATTTGAGTAAGGTGGAATTTCAGGTGTACAAGAAGCTAACTTAGAACAGTTAGATATTGCTAGCACTGTACTCCACAAAAAATTTGTAAGGGGTTCCTTGGAACCTTGTGTCTCTCCTACGATTGCTCTGTCAGTATAAAAGTGTGTAATGTTGACTTAAAAAGTCAGTCCATTTATCAGTAAAATACAGAATTAAAAAAAATTCAAACTTTCTCTTTGGATGCTATTTCTTGGTCTTGATGATTAGGTTCTGTCCAAGTTTCATAACAATCCATGAATGTTAACAAACTCATCATGTCAAAAAAATTTAATCCCAGACTGTCTGTAAATGTTAACTGTAATAAACTGCTTCGCTGAGCGCAGCGGGATACACCCGCAGAGGTCCAACCCTGAACAGTTGGGGCAAAAATGGACACAATATTCAAGCTTGATACAGGTCTGAATTTGGATCGTAATTAAATATTTGACATATTATAGGTTTCTGAATAAATGTAGTCAAAGAACTTGAAATTGGTTATATGAATTGAATTTATATACAATAAAAGATTTCTTGCTGTTGTGCAATACACTGTGCTGTTGCAAAATACTTAGTAAATCTGTTGTCAGACTATAAACAAATAAAGTTCAATTAATTCTCAATGTCAAATTAGAAATTTATGAAAATGTAAAGGGAGCTTAAATCAATAGATATAAACAATTCACCAAAGTTTCATGAGAATTGCTGACAGCATTTTTGAGTTATTGTCTGAAAACTGGAAAATCCCCCCTTTTTTAATGAATAAAACCCCATAACTCAGAAATGATATACGAAAAATTTATAAAATTCTAAACAGAGCTTACATCAATAGATATAAACATTTCACCAAAGTTTCATAAGAACTGCTGAAAGCATTTATGATTTTTTGTCTGAAAACTGGAAAATCCCCCTTTTTTAATGAATTAAACCCTGTAACTCGAAAACGTAAAATCTAAAATATATAAAAATCGAAAGGGAGCTCATGTCAATAGATATAAACAATTCACCACAATTTCTTGCAAGTTGGTGAAAGCATTCTTGAGTTGTTGTCCGAAAACTGGAAAATCCCCCTTTTTTTTTAATGAATAAAACCCCACAACTCGGAAACGTAAAATCTAAAATTTTTAAAAAAGAAAGGGAGCTCACGTCAATAGATATAAACAATTCACCAAAGTTTTATGCAAATTGGTTAAAGCGTTTTTGAGTTAATGTCCGACATGTTGACAACGGACAGACAGACGGACAGAGGTATACCATAATACGTCCCGTAAACGGGCATATAAAAAAACTAAGTCCATCTATCAGAAAAATACTGAAAATGAAAACATATTTTCAAAAGTTTGCCTCAGACATTATCTCTTAATCAGAAAATAGTTTCATAAAATTCTATGAAGGTTTAACAAAGTATTTGATGTGTAACAAACTTTAACCCCAGACTGTATCTACTTGTTAAAGGAGACATGACACGATTTAAAAAAAATTTTTTTTTTTATTAAATTGATAAATATTAGTCTTAAAACATGTTTTGTACAATTTTGCTGGTCAAAACCTGATAAATCGGCATTTTTCTGGTCAAAGAATCCAGCGCTTGTCATTAAGAATGATTTTTAATTAGATAACGATCACGTGATTGTGCTTACGTCAGTGGTTACAAGCTGGGAAAATGTCTCTAACTGGACGATGTCGATACACTATGGACGGTATTGACAGCACTTTTGCCGATTACTGACAAACTATAAAGACATTGTGTGTGAAAAATAACCAAGAAAAAGATATTAATTTTTCATGCGAAGAGTCCAAAAACGACGATTTTTCAGACAATACCGATCGGATTGTTACCATACATATTTGGTTTGTCTGATGAATTAATACATGTATAATAGACCGCTTTCTGCATTTTTTTCATTTAAATAAAACTAATAATACTTTTTAATCATGATTGAAAATATAAATTTCTAATTATTGATGATCAAATTGTTCTTTTGTCTCTCTGTTACGGTAATGTTAAAATTGTGTGTAAGCCAGAAGCAGAAAAAAAAACAATAGTAAAAGTCAAATTAGGCGTTCGCAAAGTGTCCGTTTTTTTTATTATTACATAGAGACTTTTAATAGGTATAAATTATCACCAAAAGTTATGCTTATAATTTTTTTGGTTGGAAACCATACATCACACAAAGGATTTGTATAGTGAAAAATCCTTTATCACACTATTTCTGCATTAGGATATTCAATTAACAATTTTATTACTTTCCCCCTTTTATGTTAACAATTCAATTCAATATTTTATTTACGTCTCACCTTATGTTAAGATTACACAATACAAAACATTTATTGGAGGCTGTTGTTTTAGTGATTAAATGTTGACAACTACAGCATACTTGACCAGGTGAAAGGTAAGAAGGCACCTGTAGTGTGATTTAGTCACGTGTCTTATTATTTACCTTTTAAAACCATACATTTCATAGAAAAACTATCTTATGTTGAAATAATTAATATAGTTATACTACACTTCTAAAGTATGCTATTCCATTCAGACCCTTATAAATCTAACTTCAAATTTAAGGAATTACACAGAGTAAATTCAAATTCACTTATTTTCACCCCTCTCTTCCAAATATCATTTAGCCATCAATTTGTTTATTGCTACCAGCAAAACGTTTTTGAGTCCAGGAAAATATTCGCAACACATAATGTTCTTTTTCAAAATATTTCTTCTAAAAGGGTCATTTGAATAAATGTTAGATTTTCAATCGGACTGAGCAGGAAAATGTTTACATGTACATTTAACTTCAGTCTTCGAGAACATGAGTTGTGTATTAGTTGTACTTGGCTTTGATCTAGCTAACAGTATTTGTGCGTTGTCTCTATTGTTTTAACGTTAGTGATCTTTTGCGTTAGACTGGTTTTTAGAGTTCTTAGGTACTGCTGTAAGACCACTGTCACACGTTGGGAGGGGGAGGGGGTAGGCGCTCACAAACACATATACCTACGATACATTTTGAATGTGTCTGTCTTAAATCAGGAGCATATAGATCAGTGGTTGTCGTTGATTCATGTCTGTCAATTTTTTTCTGCGGAAATTATTTTGTTATAAATAAGTTAGTTTTCTCATTAAAATTGTTTAACATTTTCAATTTGAGAACTTTTATAGCCAAATATACGGTATTGGGTTTTCCATCATTGGAGGCTGTACGGTAAACGACACTTTCGTCATTTATTATAAAGTTTCCATTTTAAAAAGAAATGATTTTCATCATCTGAATCTTTACCACCTAAATAGTTGTCAATAATTATATTCGATGTTCAATATAATAAAATTGAGAATGGAAATAGGGAATGTGCCAGAAAAAAAATGTAAAAGACTTATGATTCACATTCTCGTATCATTTCCTTGTTTGCTTTTTATGCTTTTTGTCTAACAATTTCTTATGAAGCTATACCCTTGCAAGCATACAAGAATATTACTTTTCCATCTCAAGAAGTCAATTAAAAAATGCATCTGTTATAAACCTTTTTATATCTGCATATTCTTAAAAGCAATAAAAATAAGAATTTTATACAGGTTGTCTATGTTATCAACACCGGTTAGGGTATTTAATTGGTGGTGCATAGGGTATTGTATGGTCGTACTACAGGTATTCATTAAACATATGATCAGGTAGTTGTACCTGTATAATGTATTACTGTAACAATAATATAATCCAATCTCACCTGTGCCCTTGGCAAAACCAACATCCAGGATGTACACAAAGAGCTTATTTAGTAATATTGTGTAATAACTATATGTCTTATCAATCCCCCCATGTGGAGTGACACCTGAAGTTTGCAACTTCAAACTAGACCTGAAATTGCGAAACTCAATCATCTGTACCGTACACCTGTGACCTATGATGAACTCATGGCATGGCACCCGAGACCCCAACTCTTGATTCCTTATGAAAGTGGGCGGAAAGAAGTGTAGTTTGGGCTTGTTAAAAAGTCCCATCTTTACACCTTCTAAGTCTGCGTGTCATTCGAAAAACAGAAAATATCATGTCAATATTCTTTTTAATTATATTGTTGAATCCATCGGCATCACACATAATCATTGTTTATCACTGTCATGCGTTTTGTTGGATAATAATCGAAACTAAATTTGTGCTGTACCCAAATGTCAATATGAATGAACGTAACCACTGACGTAGTAGCCTCGTTCTGAGTGACTTCCGGGATGGAAATATGCATATTTGACAGGTCGATAAATCGTTGCATTAAAATCTCATTAAAATACATATTTTACCAAATAGTTGACACTTATAATGCTATCGATGTATTTTTGGGGAAAGCTAAGTATAAATAAACATTTTGAAACACAAATTGAAAATCGTGTCATGTCTCCTTTAAATATTTTCTAAATTTTGCTCTGGAATCTGGATACTGTATTTTGGTCATAAACAAGCTTCTGTCCAAATTTCATAAAATTCCATGAAGATTTGACAAAGTTATTGATGTCTTAAAGTAATTTATACCACAGACTGAAACTATATGTTGATGACACCAACCCTGGATTCTAGGATCGCTATGTCTTGCTTTCGCGACATAAATGTCACAGACTCGACAAAAAGAAGAGGCATCAGATTTAATGTCCCCTTTCTGATTGTACATGGCTGCATATTAAGACATAGGTCTTAATGCTGGACAAAGGAAGTAAAGGTGGTCATATTTGTATACCCCAGTCAAACTTGGGGTCAATTCTTCCCGGAGTTATCCACTCAATAATATACTGTAGATTCCTTTATTTTCGTGGATACCAATTTTCATGGACTGAGGAAAACTTGCTTTTATGTGGATATTTGATTTCATGGTATTGCCATAGTCTGAATACAACCTCTGAAAAGATTTTCTCTTAAACCCCAGAAATGTTTGAAAATTGGTATCCAACGAATAGTCATCAACCCATAGTACACAATTTTTTAATAAATTAATATTAAAAAGACTTTTATATTGTTTAATAAAATGCTCCGCAGGGCGCAGCTTGATACGACCGCAGAGGTCGAACCCTGAACAGTTGGGGCAAGTATGGACACAACATTCAAGCTTGATACAGCTCTGAATTTGGATTGTGATTAAATATTTGACACAGCATTGGTTTCTGACACAGAATGAATGTGGTCTAAGAACTTAAAAATTTTAAATTGGACATTCACCTATTATGGTCCAATATCCAAAATCTAAATACATGGTTAGATTCAGCATATCAAAGAACCCCAAGAATTCAATTTTTGATGAAATCAAACAAAGTTTTATTTTAGACCCTTTTGACCTCAATGTGGACAAAGTTGATAACGGGGCCCAAAAATCAAAAATCTAAATACATGGTTAGATTCAGCATATCAAAGAACCCCATATATTCAATTTTTGTTGAAATCAAACAAAGTTTAATTTGGACCAACTTGAAAACTGGGCCCATAATCAAAAATCTAAATACATGTTTAGATTCAGCATATCAAAGAACCCTAAAAATTCAATTTTTGTTAAAATCAAACTAAGTTTAATTTTGGACCCTTTGGACTTTAATGTAGACCAATTTGAAAACGGAACCAAAAATTAAGAATCTAAATACACGGTTAGATTCGGCATATCAAAGAACCCCAATAATTCAATTTTTGATGATATCAAACAAAGTTGAATTTTGGACCCTTTGGACCTCAATGTGGACCAATTTAAAAACGGGGCCCAAAATCCAAAAACTTAATGCATGGTTAGATTCAGCATATCAAAGAACCCCAAGAATTCAAGAATAAAACCCCATTGAAATTGATCAAGAAATAAGCAATTTATACGAAGTATCTTCTTTTGCACAATACTGTGCAATTGAATATTTCTTGCTATTGCGCAATACTGTACAATTGACAATTTCTTGCTACTGCGCAATATTGTGCTATTGGATATTTCTTGCTATTGCGCAATACTGTGCAATTGAAGATTTCTTGCTATTGCGCAATACTGTGCAATTGAAGATTTCTTGCTATTTTGCAATACTGTGCAATTGAAAATTTCTTGCTATTGCACAATACTTATTATATAATAATTTACACATCCTGTTTGGTGTGTATCTCCTACCATATCATTATTATTTGCTTTTAAATATAAATCAGAAATAACCAACTTAAAATGGAAAATTTTAAAAGAAAAAAAAAAGGAAAAAAAGAAAAAAAAAGAAAAAAAAAAAATCCCCCCCCCCCCAAATTTTTTGAACCCCCTTATGATTCATCACCCCCAAACTCAATCCCAGCCTTCCCTTTGTGGTATGGTACCTTGCAGTACAATTTCAGAGACGACGCCGGACGACAACGACGATGACGACGCCAACGTCATACCAATAAATGACCAAAAAATTTTTAATTTTTGCGGTCGTATAAAAAGTGTCTGCAATACTTATCTCTGAAAGTATTTTTGATATTTGAAATTTTGTTGTCTTTGTAGGTGTATCTTTCTATATTCTACATATAAATAAATATTTGTTAAGACAGCTTTATTTTTACCTTTGTTCCTTTTGTTTCTTTTTCCAAAAATGCACTACCCATATCACCCATGAGGTAGTCAGATACCCTGAAATAAATTTGAGAAGTATGAATTTCAATCATATTCTCATATACAAACTAATATTTACCATCATTCAACTTAAATATTTCTATTCTCCTTTGTATATGACCAAATACAAATATGTCGTTGGTTAGTACAGCAAAATGTAATGTTTATTATCTGTTTAATCCATATTTTTCAAAAATATATATGCATTTCCTTAAAAAATTACTGTTAAAAAATCATTATAGTAAAGGCTTTTTCAAATTTCAGTGTGAAAATCCCCATTCAATGCATGAAAATTTCAACAACAAATAATTGTTCATTTTATAAAATTCCATAAATAAAGAAGAATGTTTATGGAATTTTATAAGGACATGAATACCCCTGCTCAAGCTTGCTTTTAATATGTGAAAATACTTTTGGGATGGACAGAAGGACAGACTAAAGGAAGGTCAGAAAGACAGACAGACAGTCAAGGGTAACACTTAATGCCCCCTTTGCCTAGCAGTGGGTCATTAAGTTTTCCCACAATGGCACAGCCAAGAATTCAATGGGTATGTTTATAAATAAAATGCTTCGCTGAGCGCAGCCTGATACGACCGCAGAGGTTGAACCCTGAACAGTTGGGGCAAATTTGGACACAATATTCAACTTGATACTGTCTAAATTTGGATTGTAATCAAATTTTTTACATAATATAGGTTTCTGACACAAAATAAATGTGGTCAAAGATCTTATAAATCCATTGCCAATTACTGTGCAATTGAAGATTTCATCTTGAAACTTTTCAAAAATTCAAAATTTAAAAAATAAAAAAAAAAAAATATGAATCCCTTTAAAAAAATGGGAAAAAAATCCCCCCCCCCCCCCAACTTTTTGAAACCCCCCTTAGAGCAATAACCCCAAAACTCAATCCCAGCCTTTCCTTTGTAGTATGGAACCTTGTAGTACAATTTCAGAGAGATCCATACACTAACACACAAGTTATTGTCTGGAAACTAGAAAAATGCTTGTTTTTGGCCCTTTTTTGGCCCCTTATTCTTACATAATTGGGGCAATTAACCCCAAACTCAATCCAAATCTTACCTTTGTTATATGGAAATTGGTGGTACAATTTCAGAGAGATCCATACACTTACACACTAGTAATTGTCTGGAAACTAGAAAAATGCTTGTTTTTTGCCCCTTTTTTGCCCTTAATTCCTAAACTGTTGGCCCCATAACCCCTAAAATGAATCCAAACCTTCTTCTTGTGGTATTAAACATTGTGGTACAATTTCAGAGCAATAGAAATACTTATACACAAGTTATTATCCTGAAACTAGAAAAATGCTTGTTTTGGGCCCCTAATTCCTAAACGGTTGGGGCCATCATCCCCAAAATCAATCCCAACCCTCCTTATGTGGTATTGAACCTTCTTAAAAAATTTCATAGAGATCCATTCACTTAAAGTTATTGTCCAGAAACTAATGTGTCTTCGGACGCAGACGCAGACGCAGACGCAGACGCAGACGACTACGCAGACGACGACAACATCATACCATTATACGATCCCAAAAAATTATTTGCGGTCGTATAAAAATGCCACCTCAATTTCTGAGAGGATAAAAATGGACATAGATACATGATTTTTTTTATTACTGTGGATTCATTATTATTCTTTGGATACCAATTTTCGTGGTTTTCGTGGGTACAGGTGAACCACGAATTCAAATGTTCAACGAATAACTAAATTTCTATATGCTTGTGTGCAAAAATAGACAAAACCACGAATTCAAATATCCATGAAAATGCAAGTTTTCCTCAATCTATGAAAATTGGTACCCACGAAAATAAATGAATCCACAGTAGTTGTTATTGGCTGTGAACTAGCTGTCAGTAAATGCGAGTACTTGTACTCTCAAATCTGTACTTAGTGTTTTTTTGGCAGTGGGGATGTATAAATAACCTGCCACATCAGGTCTGTGTTTTTGTTACTTGTTTTTCTGCTTTGTATCGATCTGATGAGTTTAGCCCTTTTAAGCTGATTTTTATAGTTTATTCATATGTATGCTGCTACACCTCTGTCTGAGGTAAGGGGAGCGTTGGGCGCCTGCATTCATGTTTAACCCCGTCACATTCTGTATGTACCTGTCCCAAGTCAGGAGCCTGTAATTCAGTGGTTGTCGTTTCTTGCTGTATAACATATTTGTTTTTCATTCATTTTTTTGTGAAGGTAGTGTCAGATTCTTACTCATTTTGGCCTTAGGACAGCTTTTCATATATTTACTTTACTTTAAAGGAATAATGTTGCTGTTTTTAAATGAATTACAAGAACTAATCCTGATTTTCTAATTGTTATTGATGAGCACCAGTACTTACCCACTACTAAATGCCAGTGCTAGCTGGTCAATAGCTTCATACAAACTAGTATCTTTGACATCAGGATTAGAACCTCCTTGGTTATATGCTGAAAACAAAAATGTGTGGAGTTGAATTCATTGAAAAGATGTAAGTGTACTGCAAGTTCATACCAGCTATCAGCCATTAAAAGAGATATGGCAAAGTCCTCGCTTAGCAATGCGGAACCAAAAAAATAATTCCAATCAAATAACTTCTGAAAGTTTCATGGAAAAAGAATCTGTAATATGTAAGTAGTAGTTGATACAAAAAACCACCTCGTGAAGATATGCCCTTGAATATGGCAAATTCAATGTTTTACTATGTGAGACATCAAAAACATTGAGCATTGAGTGGTGAGAGGTCATTGCTGGAAATCATGCAAATTATTCTATCTGGTTTTTAGTGATTTTTTGTTTACTTTTCATCAATAGAACATTGATAACAAATGCCATTTAATGAACTATTAAAGTGTATCCCTTATTTGTTGCCAATGTAAATATTTGTGTTGCATAAGGTACAATCTCAAATTGTTAGAGTTGACACACCTTTAACATTGTTATAGAAGAATTTCCATAATTTGTTTACTTTTGGGAAATGTCTAGAGGTGATGCTTAAATTCTGGTTAACCCCTGAAGACTACTATGTGACCTCTAGATGTTCATTTCGTTGTTACAAATTATTACCATGGTTACTGAATACTTTAACAGTGTGTCAACCAAAAATCTCGCTTTGCCTAATTCAGAATTCAGACACCTATTGTAAAGACAAATTATATGATCATTGTGAATGTAAATAATATTCAGGGTAGGCAAATGATCATTTTTTCACAGTACGTACATTTGACTTTAGTTATTAGACTTCCTGATGCTGCAAACAGTTCTGTAGATTGTAAAGCCGGATATTGATGAAGTAAATTCTTTAATATGGACAGAACTTCTCCCAGTCTTTCATGAATAGTTACTCTTAAATCATCTGTAGAATCTGCAATTTAGAATAATTCAAACTATATGCACAAGATGACAGAAAATATCCACAATATTTGATTCCTATTTCACTATGATGTGCATTGTTGAAAAAGCACATAGATGTAAATGTACATCCATTCTACAACAAACTCAGATAAAACGGGCTAAGTACATGTATAACTTTTAATCATATCAATCTTTGCTGATTCAGATTTTCATAAATCTAGTTAACATATTTTTAGTTGTAAGGTGCATATAGTGTGATAAAATATTTCTTTAAACTTTTTTTAATTTCTTTTTTTCTATAGTATCCTTGTTAAAATGTCATCGTAAACTATTATACCACCTGCTAAAGTTAATTAAATTTCTCACATAAAACAACCATTAATGGCCTTGTTTATTTCTGAATCAAGTTAAGAATTGGGTCCATTACCTTTGAAATTTACAAAATAAATCACCTAAGCATGAAATTACTATTACAAAGATAATCAGGATACACAAGGATTTTATTTCAAGAAATGATGCATACTAAAGAGTTTAATTCATTTTAATACATAATTTGCCATCAGCAAAGACAATGGACATTTAAAAAATAAGAAAAGAAAATTGAATTTGATCCATATAAAAATTTGATAGCACACAAATTCATTTTCTACATATATACAAAAGCTGTTCCTTGGAGTAAAGAAATCAACATCAAGGTTTATCTATGTAGGTATCTTAGTCTGTATAATTTATTATGGTACACTACATAATAATCATCAAATTTGGTTTTTAATGTGTTCAGAAAATATGTAGGTCACAATGTATGTGTATAATTAGTCCTGAACATGCATGAAATATTTGCCACTGGACATTAAGCTACCAACAATCAATCAATCAATGTGTATAATTTACACATTTCTTTCCTTTGATCCCCATTTTTGGTAAAAGCAAAGATTTTAAAGTTTAAAGGAACTACTTTTCTTCTATACTGCTGTTTTTTCATATAGCATTTTGTGGAGTATTTAAGTATCAGTAAGAGCATAGTCAAATGGACAAAAACAGATCTTTGCTTTCAATGAAGTTAAAAAACACATGATACAAGTACATTATACTACCAGGAAATATTTCTATTGTATAAATACCATGATCTTCAAATACTGCTTTCAGGCGATTGAGTCCATCAGAGAAACATTTGACATCCTGAGTGAGTGTAATGATATCACTCTGATCAACAATGAGTTTTTCTGGTTCACTGGTAGGTATACTGGTTAGTGAGGAACTTTTTGTCATTTTGTTTGTTGTGTCTACTGTATCACCTTCATCTGTAGAATTCTAAAATGTAATATGTATGTGTTACATGTGTTAATAGTTTGAAAGTTAAATTCAAAAATTTTAGCATTTAACATACCTTGTATTAGTAATAGATAATCATGGTTTTGCATGATACAAATCTTATTATTTTGGGGGAATTTTATAGTTAATATTTTTTTAGAAGAGTTTGTCTGAAAGGCAGTGATTTTTTCCTAATTTACTTAATGCACATAAAACTATTTTGAACCCCTTCTTTTACAGCAAGTTTTTTGTCAGAAAACCAAATTTCATTTCATCTCTCTCCAAGTCATGTCAGTCAGGCGTGTAGCTAAGCTTATGTCAAAACACTGGGTGTACACATGAATTTTTGAGAGAAAAAAAAATTACCTGAATAAAAGAAAAGTGGTTAAAAGCACATGAGCCTTGTAATTCTTTTTTCAAGTATAACTGTAGTTAAAGTTAATTTTATAAGGAAATTTACTTTTTAATCAAATGGATGTCCATTTTCTGTCAAAGTCTAATCTACTGTGAATTCTACTAAAGTTTCCTATTGTTTAAAGCAATTCATTATATATGATATCACGATATTAGCTACTGCAGAAAGATCTTTTAGAGATTTACGTACGCTGAAAAACTTACTTACACTTCTATATATGTACAGGAGAGACTATTTGCATTAGGATTGATGCATATTCGCCGAAAAATCCCAATCAACCTAAAGGGAGTTATAGAAACACTTGCTTTGTATATTGCCCTTTCATACTATTTTAAACTGCTAGGTTTTCTTACATATAATTCGATGTGCCCCTTGCGGTCTATCATTTGTTTTTTTAGTTTTATATGTATTGTCTATCATTTATTGTTTCAAAATTATTGGTCTTTTGTTCGGCAAAGTATGACAAATATATGTTGAAAAACCTCGCCCGTAATTATAAATTATGTAATTCATTGACCGCTCCCAACATGTGTAACTTCAAGGCATATTTTAGCAGCGATTGATGGCTTTCAAAAATTACTGCACTTTTCTTGTATCCCTGGTGCTTTCGACTGGAGAACCGTCGTACACAAGCATCGCACAAGTTGGCACTCCGAGGCGGGTGGGGAGCAAGAAGGTGAACTGTGGTTTATTTTTATCAATAGTAAAGCTTAAGTCAACGCTAGGGGCCATCATGACCTTGTTGTAGGGTATGAAAGATTCGTTCATTGTTGAAGACACTACATCAACTGTCAAGATGAAGGACAGGAATAAAAGCCCTGTTCATTGATAATTTTCTATGTTTCTATGTATTGCGTGCGATTTTGTCCCATGTACATTTACTCCATATCCTTTCATTTTTTTATTCACGCAAAAATAGGAAAATTTCTCTGCTGTACTAATACTGACTTTGCTCTTCAAATATATTTGATTTCTTTAGTATTGACTGTCGATATTCATGCTCTCTGGATCACTTCATGTGCAGTGATTTATACAATTCTGGTAACTTTTATTCACAATATTGACTTTTGTACAAACCATTTGATTTTTTGATAAATGAACTTATCTTGACATAGGTTTTCTCCATATATATGGAAGCTGAGATACGATAGGTAGTTTGCATATGAAAATTTATCATTTTATGTGTCCATAAACGAAAGTTGCGATTAAAAAGAGGAAAAAATTAGTCAAAATAATTAACAGAACGGCATCACTGAAATGAAGACTTGCTTTTTTACTATCTCTAAAGTTATGGCTTTTTTGTGGATTACTTGTTTTACCCTACATATCCTTTTAAACATATTTTACAATAACTGGTTTGGACATTTTTCCCAAAAAAAACAATGACCATCAGATTCCAAATCAACAAAATGAATAAATTCAACATAAAGAATAAACAAATTAGTCTCTAAAGTATGTTGCTATTGACAATATTGTTATAAATGGGTATTAATAATTATCACAAAGAAACAACACATTTTATATTTCAAAATTTTATTGGGATCAATATCTGAAAACCTGAAAAATAACGGTCTTAGATGATTTTTATACACTAAGACAACTTTGGCAAACTCAATTTGGGGAGATCAAATTGCATATTTTCATAACTTGTACCACTTTTATCAGATAACATAACATTTAACATAATGTCTATCAAATTATCAAGTTGACATAGCGGTAAAATTCAACTGTCAGTGAACAGGCACTTCGATCACGATTTTCACAGGTCTACATTAATTTCACACTTTCAGGGGGTAAGGGGTTTATAAAACATGTTTGTTGTTACCTATTCATTCATTCTGAATTTTATTTGACACATCGTTGGGGTAGTTTTCCCTTTAAATTCCATCGTGGCGAGTGCTTGTTTACGTACTAGAAGTTGTCATTCCAATGATTGGTCACTTCCGGGTAACGGTACTTCTTTATAAAGTTATAATAATACATAAAAGTATTATTAAGATATAATCAAATTACTTGCTGGCCTTCCTTTTATTGTTTAGGATACTGAATAATATGCCATTGTTACGTTAAGTACGTTTTTGCGAATCGCCGTTAAGGAACTATTTTGTGATTTCAATGACGTCAGAGAGAAACGTAGGTGATAAGGCTACGAGTATGGAATTTTAAGGTTTATATTTAATATGTCACTTATCTTTTGGAAATAAAGGCAAACTTTCGCGATTTTATGGATTTATAACGCCATTCTGTGACATGAGCCAGAGTTTTCGTTAGCATTTCAAAGTCAGTGTTCCCACCTGCCCTAAATAGAAGGGCGGCCCGCCCTTGATGCCCTTACCCCCGCCCTTCTGCCCTCCAAAGTAAAAGAATGCACCCCTCTGCCTTTTCAAAAAAATAAAATTTCCAAATTTCATGCCTACCGGCGTTTCCGGTAAATTGTTACCTGATTGTGTAACACTAATTAACTGACAATGGGATTAAGTTAAATATCTAATGCTTTGGCAGTTTTATCACCTTTGTTAATGATTGTTTACTGCTAATTAGTGGATTTAAGATAATTGAACAAATACTAGATATTTAATACAGAATGAAATGTCCACATGTTATCCATTTGTAATGTTTATGTACAGCATGTACACCTGAAAAAATTTATTTCAGTAGGCATAACATAAAAAATAAAATCTTAAACAATTTTAAAGGCATGTATACATAGTTTTGACTTAATTGGTAAAAAATGTTTTGTTTCATAACCATGAGTATGAAATTTAAAGAAGAACCAAAGAAATTTGTACTTTGAACATAACAAGATTCACTTCCTGTTTTACTTCTTGTATTTTATAATCCTCCTGACATAGGAGCACTCAACAAATTTATTTTTAACAATGATGGAGAAAAAAGTAACTGTTTATACCTTCTGCAATATATTATTGCATCAATATAATATGATCATCTCCTGTCTCACCTGTTATATTTATAAAACTCCTTACTGAGGAGCACTTTGGTGTGCACTTAAAAATACTTTTTTGTAACAATTCAAATGATAATAAATAACTCTCAATAACATATATACTATAAGTTTGAACAAGTAATTTAAATGTAGATAATTTAATTACATTAAACATTCAATTTTGCATGTATAACTCCATCTTTCAAAACTACTTGTTTATTTTTATAGACTGGTATAAGTTATAAAACATTGAAATTTCTGATGATTATTTTCCTTATCAAATGTACAAGTTTGTTTAGATTAACATCAAAATGATATGCTTTGCTTCATGGTATGATAATTTGATAAAAGAAAATTCTTATGGGAACCAACATCAAGAACACATTAATTTCTGAATATGGTTTAAATACAACTAATGTTCGACAGCTGAGCCTAGCAATATTCAAGGTAATTTATACACTGTCCAACATTGCCCTTAAAATCAGGGTTATAACGCTAAAGTGCCCTTTCAGACAACTAGCACCCTTCTGCCCTGAGATTCAAGCTGGAACACTGAAAGTTATAGTAGATTTTCTGTTCTGTGAGTCACCCATGTATTTCACAGTCAAGTATAAATACAGCGTCGCACTAGCACTTCAGCATATCGTATCTGGCTGTCAAGCTGAGCAGAACGTAAAACAAAACAAACCCTCAAGTTAACAAAGCTATCTAGGTACAGGATGCATTTCGATATAAAGCTATTTTACCTTAAGCTATGTGATAGCATTTCAAGTTCTATATTAAGCTATTATTAATCTTTTTACATCTTTCGGAATATTGAACCAAAATCTTACTCAAAGACTTCCAGGGACCAAATACCGCTTTACAAATATTCCTGCTTACGCAGGTCTTCAACAGGAAGTGGCTTCATATTAGACAAGATGCGGAACCAGTTCAATGTTTACAAATTCCAATAGTAGTTTTTGGCAAATTATAACAATTATTAAAGATGTATAGACATGATAGATACGATATCCCACCACATTGACAACTTTCTATAATTCCGTAATTTAATGAAATAAGTATATTTCATTTTCCCATTATTCATTTTGTTATTGAACTAGTATGATTGATAGGATAAAGTCTTGCAGATATATATATATTAAGTTACATTTGGGGTTCGGAAGGCCAGCATCTTACTATTCTAATTTATACTAACTATGTTATTGCTGTTACATGTATATGAGTTATTTATTGAGATAAATACATACTGGACAAGAATAAAAGTCATTCTTTAACGCTGGATTCATTTATATATGATCATGCTGGAGTCAACCAACTACACTTAAAACAAGACTATCTAGCTAGAGGAACACTATCAATGATCTATACTGAATTAAAAGTACACACAACCCCTACTCGCCCGCCTGTAACAATATAATGACAGAAATGGTCTCTTTCTTGCTAACCTGTGAGCTTCAAAGTAGTGGACATCTTCACTAGTCATTGCTAGTCAAGGGTTATGATTCAGCCACCCTCACTCTTCAAAACAAAAAATAAATGTGGAATGTGTCCATGGGACACAGATGATGCCCCCGCTTGCATATTACTTTATAAAGAGACATAACTCAAGAAATGTAAAAGTGACGCTACCCAAATTTGTACTTGATCTGTGTTTTGTGGTAATAAGCATTGTGTATAAGTTTCATAACATTTAGTTGAGGCAAACTTAACAGGGCTCACACTACTTCAGAATCATAGGGAGAAGTGACTTCTCTTTTTGAAACTAATAGGGAGAAGTGGTGAGATTTGAAAGAGAAGTGCTCCTTCGCGCGCTGCGCTACAATGTTTTGATTTTACTATAGTATAAAGGGTCATATGTAAATATTGTTCTTTTTATATTGTTCAATTCATATCTGAGTATACAATTAAATTAACAGTTCAAATTCAAAGTTGTTTAAGTTTAGGTTCTTGTGAGAAACTACCAACTAAATATCTAGCACTAAAAGGAATTTTTTTTTATGTCAAAAAGGAATTTTTTTTTTATGTCAAAAAGGCAAAGAAATTATAATATATGAATTACAATTCAATTAAAAACTATCTTGTTTATCATGTTATGAAATTCAGTGTTTCTCATCAAAAGATATACAAAGTTAAGCTGGGCCATAGTATATTGATATTAGAAGTTAAGCAACTTTAATCAATATTTTGAAACAATCCATATAAATTATATGGAATTATATACATTAATCAATAAGATCTAACCAAAAGTCTGTTAATGCGTGTGGAATGCGTAATTTTTCCTTTTGGGATCAATATTCTTCTGTCAGCTTTTCCATTCATGGGTCCGTAGTTATTATTGTAAAAATATGGATTTCGGTCATAGCTGTTCCGGTACCGATCCGTAGTAAGTAAACGATTAATGGCGGATGAAGAAAATTTACAAAAATAAACGATGTTTGACAAGCTATTTGGAAAGGAATATGACATTTTTAATGCAATAAATGGATTTAACATTTACTGGAGGCAACTTTGATCACTTTCAAATGAAGTAACAAACTTATTTTGCCGTCGAAAGTTAGATTGATATACGCTCTCTGAGTAACAAGTACCGGAAGTGCATGCAGTGTTAAAAAGTTGTCTTTTTATTAAATAACCTGCTACACACTGTAAAGTCAATGCTTAAACCTCTTTTCTTAAGAAAATGATTCGTTTATGTCTGAATTTCTTTAATAATCAATAATACTAGAAAAATGCTTGTTTTTTTGCCCTTTTATGGCCCCTAATTACTAAAATTTTGAGGGAATTACCCCCAAAATCAATCCCAGCTTCCCCTTTGTGGTATGGTACCTTGCAGTACGATTTCAGAGAGATCCATACACTTGAACACAAGTTATTGTCTGGAAACTAGAAAAATGCTTATTTTTGGCCCCTTATTCTTAACTTTTTGGGCAATTACCCCCAAACTCAATTCCAGCTTTTCCTTTGTGATATGGAACCTTGTAGTACAATTTCATAAAGATCCATACACTTACACACAAGTTATTGTCATGAAACTAGAAAACTGCTTGTTTTTTGCCCCTTTTTGGCCCCTAATTCCTAAAATTTTTAGGCAATTACCCCCAAAATCAATCCCAGCATTCCCTTTGTGATATGGAACCTTGTGATACAATGTCAGAGAGATCCATACACTTACACACAAGTTATTGTCATGAAACTAGAAAAATGCTTGTTTTTTGCCCCTTTTTGGCCCTAAATTCCTAAAATTTTTAGGCAATTACCCCCAAAATCAATCCCAGCATTCCCTTTGTGATATGGAACCTTGTGGTACAATGTCAGAGAGATCCATACACTTACACACAAGTTATGTCTGGAAGTTACAAAATTGATTATTTTTGGCCCCCAATTCCTTAACTGTTGGTCCCATAACCCTGAAGAGGGTCGGGCAAAGCGAAGTGATGGACGGGAAAGCGACTTCTTTGCCCTAGTCGCCTGGTAGCGTGAGCCCTGCTTAAGTGAGAGAACGGAAACGAAAAAAATTCAGCAATTTTTCCATTTGTAAAGGGGCATAACTCTAGAAAGGTATAAGTGACGCCACCAAAATTCAAACTTGATCTGTGTTTAGTGGTAATAAGCATTGTGTATAAGTTTCATAACATTTGGTTGAGGCAAACTTAAGTTAGAGAAGGGAAACCAATTTTGGGACGTACATACGTACATGTACATATAGACGAACAAGGTAAAATTTAATGCCCCCTCTGCTATGGCGGGGGCATAAAAAAATAAAAGACTAAGAGGCCCGATTGTAACACTAGGCTAGTGAAGATGGTTATGAGGGTTGCACGATTGAATCCCTAATGACACATTCCCCATTTCCATTCTCAATTTTAACTCAAAAAAGACAAACAAAAATTATGAATATCATGCAAGTAATTTTTTTAAATATTGCTAATTTTTTTGTAAAGTTCAACACGACAAAATATCAAAAGCTGTTTTGATTTGTATTCCATTGGATTTGCAGTATAATATTGTGGTATATATTTATTTCTAAGGTGATGAAGGTTTTCATTGTAAAGTTTAAACATTTAAAATAATCATGATAATGGTCTACCACTTAACACATACTTAAGTATTTTTTTCAATCAAAAATATTTTTAAAAACAAAAAAAAATAAATTAAATGGATTATCTCATCAATCACTGGTTCATTGGCCTTATTGTTAAATGGATCATAATGCCATATTAGCCCAGTAAAGATTACCTACTACTTAAATAAATATGCAATCATTATAATTTGTATAATTCATTGTTTATCAAAACATTTAAAGCTATCACATGATGATGCAAGTAATCCTAATTAGTCTAGAATAAACAAAAGTAATATTGAAAATGTACATTTATTTAGCCATTTGACATGGTCAAGTTTATAATTTATTGTGAACATTGGGGCAATGGAAAGGTTGACAAGGACACTTTTCCAAGTGTGAGAGCAGAAGTGTGCAGCTTTAAGGGACAAGGCACTGGAAATTGCAGATTTTAAGTGCAGACTGACAGACACTATACTATCATGACTATGTTAACAATAAACTGTAGCTTCAGTCAAATAGGGTACAACGATACTAAAAAGGAAACATACAGTTTCATCTAATGCTAATGAACAGTTACTACAAACAAAAAGAAAATTTAGTTACATGTAAATGTACATTAATAATTATAGTGCACTATATCTCTTTCACTGGGGGCAACCAAGGGAGACATGTGCAACATGTGAATGCATACTTTTTTATAAGAAGTTTCAGTTCCAATGCATATATCATCAGCTGAGATATATAGCTTTTTGGCTGGCAAACTAGCCTCACAGTATGACATAATTAAGTTATTCAAATACTTTTTAAAAGGTTTTGAATAGTTCATCTTCCTGACAGTTGTAGATGGAAACAATTTTGATGTAAATGCTGTAGTACAGTGAATCTTGATTTATCTTGATAAATCATGTATTTTGGAAATTTAATTTACATTATTGGTTTATCGTCTTTACCTGATCTCGATTATCTGTACCATTTGATTTCTTCTTAGATTTTGATCCGATGTGTATGCCTAGTATTCGTCCCTTTGTCGACATCACACGCCCACTTTAAAAGTGCATAATATGCATACGTATGAAATGAGTTAAGTCCTTTAATTTACACCATAATTTGCAGTAAAATGTGTATAATCAAACTATTTGAAACTTTTTGACATAATTTATGAAGTTTGCAAACTTTTCCAAAATGACAGACCGGATATTTACATTATCACGTGACATTATGTACATTCTTTATAGTCTATTTCATTATCTGTCAATCACGCCCTAGGTGTCTTCAACGACGTCCGATTTCAGTATCGCGGACGTCGCTGACGTAATATAGACGGATCCAAAAACACATTTCTTTGAATTTATATTTTTTTTTGTCATTGCTGTGAATCTAAAATTGTCATTATTAAAATCAAAGAAGTTATCCATATAAATAAGAATTATTAGCAAAGTCATCGATCAAGGATTGTAATAGTAAAGATCCTAAGTACTATAAAAATCCTTTCCATGATAACAAGCCATTGTGACACCAAGTTCCTTTACACTCTGTATATTATGTCCTTGTAATCTAATACAGTCTATTAAGAGTATGATTTTTATTTCCGGTGGACAAAGCTTGGAATTTATCTGGATTCGCTTGCATTAAGCAAAGATTTGTATAGTGAGACTCGCTATACAAATCTTTGCCTTAAAGCTATTTGTAAATTAATCCATGATTTTTAAATTTCACAGTCATAATCGGAGTGTTATCATCTGCATAATCTACAAACCAACCAAATTTGATCAATCAGTAATAAATAATATTGGTGTCTTGTGACTAATGTGAATAGTGTACCATTATCACTTAACTTTGATCTGGAGATTCTTTTTTAAAAGACACTTTTTTTTTCGATTATGTTCTTTCCGTCATCTGATGTTGATTAAGATGACACATATATGGTTTAAACCAACTACATATATCCAAACAAATAAGTACCTATTTGAACAAAAAGGTGTTTGATCATTTAAGTTGAAAACATTTATCTGTAGATTGGCTCTGCATTCTTGCCTCCAACATCATGATCGCCAGTATATAGCACGAAGTCTCTCTCTATTTTCTGGTATTTGAAACCGTAGTATATCAGAACTTTGCCTCCACTGTTTCCTCCAATGACCATTGTAGCCATTTCTGAGATCTAATGGACCAGGGACAGCAGAGCCTTTTATACCATCTTTTCATGAGAACTTTCAACTCACTCAAAGATGTCAATTTTAAAACAAAATTGACATTTCTACAAAGGTAATACAGTGCCATATTTTGACACTTCCTGTGCTTGCATCGTCAACCTGGGAACGCACATCACCGTCATTACACACTTGAAAAGTGTGAAATTCATGAGTTTTGGCTAATCCCTGTCCGTCCGTTCATACACATAGCTATACTGACATCAGCAATTTTTTTTCAGCCATGAAGTTTCAAATCTAAAGAATGTTTTATATTGTATTTTGGAAATTCACTTTTTTCAAGAACTGAAAAAACTTAAGAACTTTTGTGTTTTGTGAAAATACATAATGACCATTTTTCCCTGGTATTCTGACAACTAGTAAATTCAAATGACAATTTCAAAATTCCCTAATTAAATGACCGATTCTTCGCCTTTTAAAAACAACCACGAAGAAATATTGTTTGGATTTTAAAGTCACTCAATAAAAGGAGACTAAGTCACAAATAGCGTATGTACTTTGTGCAGTTAGGTAGGTTCTTAGGGAATACATTAAACCTTTATGAAGATTTTATATGCAGACAAATTTGCGTAGTTTTAGGTTTAGGACGTGCATCGGTAGCTCAGTTGGTGTAGACAACGTAGCCATAACAAAAATATGAGAGGTTTTTAGTATAAGTCCCGAGTTCGTGTGATCACATGACAAAATTATGTCTTTGAGCTGATAGACAAAAAACTTTCAGCCAATCAGAAGACGTGTTCCATCCAAAATTATGAATTTAGAATTATTTATATAAATATTGTTGACAGTTGTTTTTGTGCCTTCGGATTGTATGCGATTTATTGAATAATTTTAAGTATCAACATTCGGTTTTATTTTTATTAAAAAACACTGCTTAATAATAAAAAAAAACACAATACATTACATGTTTGATTGACTTGAGGCGCATTCGATTGTCTATCTCAATTTTCGAACTAAGTGTGACAGACGGACGGACGAATATAGGAATATTTATGCCCTCGACTTGTAGAATAATGTGGCAACCTTTTGAATTATCGAACTGTCGGACTCAGTATTGAAATTTTCACTAATCATCTCAGAAATATCTGCAGTTTTTATTTTGATTCGGTACATAACAAGTACAAACATAAGCACCAAGGATTTTTTTTAAACATTTAAAATTAAAAAATATATTAATAATGACAAAATCAAATGGAATAACTTTAGTCCACATAATGTTGCGATTTTGTTTCTGTTATATTGTATGTCATTAGTTTTTGCCGACAAACGGATTTTAAACGAAATTTACCCGTTTACTTGGGGGAATTTCTGCTAGAGGACGAATAAAAAAAGACTCGTCCTCTTGGGCCGAAAGTGTACGATTGTAGTTGGTTATCGTACTTGCATTTTAACTTCCGCTTAGAAACTATGTAAACTTTCACTTTGTTGAAAAGTTATAATATCTTAAAACAGGACGAAGTCCTGTATGAACGAAGCAGGTATTGAGTTTAATGTTCAAAATGCATAAAATCGTAGCACCTGTCATGATGGGATGTTCATAAACTCAAAATCCATGCAGGTTTTTGGATATCATTTTTCTTCTGTTTCTCACTTCTCTGGTCTGAAGGCTGACACTAGCATGTCAAATGTTTTGTAGAACATCACTAATTAGTGCTGTTGTCTCCGTCATAAATAACAAAACGAGTATTATTCCCCCTTCAGGAATTTAATATTTAAGTATTTTTCATCCAGCTCTTTACAGTTATGTTACATATAATTTATAAAGATACAAAGTTTAAGAATTGTCGTTCATATATTTCTCTTTGGCTTGTTAACAAAGGCTATGCTGTTGTTTAAGTTCAATCATTGTAGCTTGTTATTTTGGGATAAACACAACCTCATTAGTTTATAGCAATACAAACCTCACCAACATGCTTTTTGTTTTGTTTTGCTGCATTGACATTCTGTATAGTTTGCGCAAGATTTGAGTCTTCCTATATAAAAATAACGAGATATGGGATGATTGCCAATGAGACATGGTACAATACTGGTTATTACATGCTAAATGAAGCCTATTTACATTATCCAATAACAGAGTATAAGATTGCATGATTTTATATCAACATTTATGCTGTTTCACCACTGTCTCTTGTTAGGGGAGGGTTGTTGAACACATGCTAACATGTTGAAGGCTCTTCTGTAGGCCTGTGTATTACACAATTTTTAAAGTGCTACAATATCAAAACAGCAAAAATACAGAATAAAAGTGATGTACCATTTTGTACATATACCAAAGGGAAATGTTGTTCAAAGCAATACATTTTATTGTTTCATTGTATTTTATTGAAAATTGGGATTTTGTGGCAAACAAAGCCTAGATTTCTACAGAAAATCCACAGACTTTATTTCATAGATTTTCGAATGAAAAAAACCTTGTGCTGAGTCACTTAAGTTGCAGGGGCGGATTCAGGCAGGGGCTTGCGCCCCCCTAAAATTTGCAAAGCATAGGTTGTCCTCATGCAACTTAATAAAGAATATTTCGATAATTTTACCTCAAAAAAATGTTCACCTAACATAAAATCCTGGATCTGCCCCTGGGTTGTGCCCACCATAGAAGGTGTACTTGAATAAGTCCATATTTAAACTTGTTTTAACCAATATCTTTATTGATATACTTCTTTTAGGGAAATCATTGCATTCAATAATCCTCGATCTATTTAAAACGAATTGTCAAATTTAGGAGTACAAGGGGAAAGGCTGTCGATTTTTTTTATAAAATTTCCATATGTTTAGCCTTGAAACAACAAAAGAGTACATAATCCTTAAGCCAGGTTAGGGGATGGTTGACTGAGAATTTGAAAACATGTTCTGTATGTGCCTGTCCCAAGTCAGTGTTTTTTTTTTAGTTGCTGTCTAACATATTTGATTTTCATTTTGTATTTTAAGTAGGCTGTTGGTTTTCTCATTTTGATTGTTTTGTCATATCAGGACCTTTTAAAGCTGACTATACAGTATGGGTTTTGCTCATTGTTTAAGGCTGTAAGGTGTCCCATAGTCAATAACATCTACATGTACATCATTTGGTATCTGGTGGATAATTGTCTCATTTGTAATCATTACTACATCTTCTTATTAAATTTTTTTTTTTTATATTAAAGTACTTTGAGGTTGCTTTAAAAAACTGTGAGTATTTTCAGTTATGGTACACTATCATGATTTATAAGAATTTTTTGTTTTGACGTGTGTTTTGTTTTCTTTTAATCTATTACATAAGTGCTCAGTGGTTTCCTTTTCTGTTTTATTGCATGTTCTTCATGCATGAAAATCTCTCTGAATTTAACAAATTTCTGGATTTTGACAAATATTTTCACTATATATTCTTTTACTAAATATTCCATTTTTTCTCATTTCTATGTTTTGGCACCTTCTATATGGTCACCCATGGTTCTGTCATGTACTCTTGGTAATCAACTGATAACGATTAAAGGAGGGAGAGTTCAGATCTCAAAAAGTTAGTTTAATCCTGCCAAATATGCCATCCCAAAGTCTTTAACCTTATCATTGGTTGTGTTATGTCATATCTTATTGTCTTGCCATTTGGAGAACATGGTGCCCATGAAAGATTTTTCATAGATTCTGTTTATGATTTATTCACACTTTTTAAGGACTTTAAGCTCGACATATTGTACGGACGCTATTTTTGAACACTGCATGTTGACCTCGAAATGTCTTTTTGTTATTTTGTGATGTGCAGTGGCTGTCTCATTTATGTATAGCCCTTATCTTTTTGAATCCATATGCATTGTATATACTAGAATTGTCAGAAGCACATCTGATGTATTTTTAAAAGGTTGGGGTAAAGTAAGAAAGAAAAGTTTAGGATGCATTTAACTGTATGGTCAACAACAATGAATATATAACATTACAATGATAGAAGCTCAAGGCAACTGATGCTCCATATGAGTTCATGATATTCCACAGGTTTTGCATAACGTAGATGCACGAGGGTTTTCTAATACCTAAAAAAGACAGTTTTTATGTGTACTTACAATTTCTTGCTGGCTTATTTTGTTTCTTTACAAATAGACTGACATCCAAAGAATAGATATACAGCTTAAGTAAAATCTATGCTCATGTATTTTTCTTTTTCTAGAATTGAATAATATGACATAGCAAAACAATGGCAAGAGGATTAAGCCCAGAATTTGTAGAAAACAGAATCCACACATTGACTCATGTTCCAGTGGAATGGAATGTCGACTTGCGAGATAAATACTATGAACTGGACTTGAAGATGAGTCAGATGAAAATGCTAGTCTTTGGTTTCCAATGGGGAGATGAAAGGTATTCAATAGATTTTTATGCTATATTCATTATTAATTATTTTCTTAAGTTCAGTATGGTTAAAATATAAATGACAGTCAGTGATTTTACAATGTATTGGAATGTCATTGCAGTATTTCTGCCTTCAAGGTTATACTTTGATAATGTCAAAACAAGGAATTATTTGAATCTGGAAAAATTTTGAATTCTGGAAAATTGATAAGAAATGTATGATGAAAACTAACCCAATTTAGGAGGAGTAAGTTAGTTCATACTGAAATATCAGTGAAAGTAAAATTAACCTTAGCCATGCGCACATGGCTAACCCTCTTTAGTTGGTTAGTTTTCATCATACATTTCTGATCAATTTTCCAGAAATCAAAGTTATTCCAGATTCAAATGATTCCTTGATTCAAACACTTTTAACCGGAGTTTTGATTTGGAGTTATAGAAGGTAGAGTACAAAATTCTGAGTTTGGAAATGCTGATAGAATTAAAAGAGTATTATAAGAATACACAAAAATATTTGAGGATTCTAATACCTCTTTGTATATATATATAAGTCTTTGTATGTGCCCTATAGTTTTCTACAAAACTAATTTATTATCTAAAGGATACCCTTGCTTGATATTTTTTACAATTACATGTAACAACTGTTTCATTTGACTTGAAAGATGGCCACTTTTCATTGACATCTTTTTAAAAAGATATTGAAAGATTTTTTAATCGAAACAACATAACATTTTGGCATCATACAATGAATCCCATTGTTAAATAATGAATTAAACGGGATGGCGGGAATTACTTAAACTAGACCTATGATACAATTATTACTTTTGTTTTTAATGACTATCAAAAAAAATGATTTTTTAAAGGACAGTGCTAAGATAATTACAAGCAATTTTATCATACCAATGTTTAATGACAAAGTAACATGCTGTTTTAAAGTATATGCAATGTTATTTTCCATCAATTGCAGTGGACCATTGCCAAGACTAGCAAACATCACAGACACACCATCAAGAATTCTCAAGTTGGATCTGTCTTTAAATGAACTTATTGCATTAGAACATGAAGGACTGCTACCATTTAAACAAGTAAGGGAATTGAATGCATCCCTCAACAGAATTAACAAGTAAGTCTGATATACTTTCTTTCAGGTTTGCCTATTTGTTTGCCTGGTATAAAAGGAATAAGAAATACTCTTATGATTCTTTAGAAAAATCTTGGTTAAAAAATTATTATGCCCCCGACACAGCGGAAGGGGCATTAAGTGTTACCCTTGTCCTTCTGTCAGTCCATATGTCCCAAAATTGGTTTCCGTTCTCTAACTTAAGTTTGCTTCAACCAAATGTTGTGAAACTTATACACAATGCTTATTACCACAAAACACAGATTAAGTTCGAATTTGGGTTGCATCACTTTTTAGTCCCCTACCGACAAAGTCGAAGGGGACTTTAGGTTTGCATTCCGTCTGTCTGTCCGTCTGTCCATCCGTCAGTCTGGCAAATCAGCTTTCCACACTTTTTTTCTTCGTTCTTGAAGATATTGATTTGATATTTGGTATATAGTTTTATCATGACAAGTTATAGATCAAGTTCGAATTTTGTTCGGGTCTGATGATTTAGTCCAGAGTTATGGACCATAACTCTGGACCATATCTAATGTTAGAGTACTATGTTAAACCATATTTCTGTACAAAGGGAGATAACTCATTTTTTAAAAGACATTCTTTGTTAAATTATTAGAAGAAATTTTTGGCAGGTTTGTTTGTTATTTAGTATAAACTAATTTTCTGAATGCTATATACATGATTTATATAAAAAAAAATTATGAAGAGAAATCCTTTAATTAGATAATAATCTATTTTTATTAATGTATATATTTCAATACATTACATTGTGTAGATAAAAGTTGTTGACATTTTATAGATAAGTTACAAATCTATATTAGTTTGTGACAAATGAAAGAAAAAATATTTGGAACTATTAATTATATTTGATTATAATTTGAAAATAGATATACACTGTATTACATCATATCTAATTTTAGAGAACTAATATTTTTTTCACTCATATAATCAGTTTTCCACACTGTTTTTAGTCATGCTTGAAGATATTGACATGATATTTACTTTTTGTTTACACCATGACAAGTTATAGAACAAGTTAGCATTTTATTCCAGTAAAATGAATTTTTACCCGGTAGGGGACTATGTATTGCCATGCAATACTCTCAGAATGCTTGTTAATACTGTTCTTGAGTCCTTTTATAACATTATATGCAAGTGGGGGCATCATCTGTGTCCCATGGACACATTCTCCATTTATTTTTGTGATTTATTCTGTAATTGGTTATAGGTGATACAATTTGTTAGATAAACAGTATTTGTTTCTATCATTCAAAAACAATGAACATATATTACCAGGTATCTTACGAAAACAGACAACCACTTGTATGATAGGTTTCTACTTTACTGTTTTAATTTCACATGTGCTGATTCATTGACTTGGATACCCACATAACATATTAATCGTATTTAAATGCAGTACAATTATCTCTCCTTACTGTATAAAATGTGCTATTAATGGTTATGTTATTTTTTTTTTCAGATTTATTGGCATAGAAGTGTTGAAGAATTTATATTCCTTGGACTTATCTCATAACTCAATAAACAAAATAGAGAATTTAGTTGGACTATCCTCATTAGTCATTTTGAATTTAAGTATGAATGAATTAGAAGATATTTCATATATGCCAAGCATGGTCAGTTTGAAAGTACTGAATCTTAACAATAATCATGTAAGTGTCACACTTCTTTGTTAATACACTCACGTTATATCATTAGTTTTATAGAAGTTACTGCTTTGGGTGCTTAAGGATGAATAAACTGTTGATGATAAATATAAGATTTATCATTGAAAGTACCAAGAGACACACAGAGATAGTTTCAAACTCATTATCATTTCTGAATGTTTTTTTTTATATTTGACAACAACATCTTTACAATTAACGATACCAATTTTACTGCATCTGATTCACATTTTGAAAATTAATGTCGTAAAAGTGATGCTAGAGGCCAATTCTTTGAAAACCTGATCGAAACCTTATGCAAATGTTGAAAATTTGATTATACCCTATTGTTTTGCAATAAATAAGGTTATAATTGTTTAACTTAGGTTGAATCTGGAACAACATTCATATGACATACTCTCTTATATTTCAGTTGAAATCTTTAGATGGTGTCCAGGCTTTGCCTAAATTAACAGAATTATCTGTACAGAGAAATAATATCGTAAGATTTATAAACTGTCATTTTTTTAATGCTTATACACTTTAGATAAGTGATCATGTGACATATCATGTGATATGTTTTAATGTTATTTAACCAATGTCAGTGAAGGTTATTTTCTTTTATATAAACTTTGAAAGCATATTGTATATATAAGGATAACATGGAATGGCAATGATTCTTTGAATTTGATTATTTAGGGATGCATAATTTTATCAATACTGTATATAAGAATTGAGAATATTTCATGGTGTAACATTAGCCACATGCTAAAATAGGAATTGGCTCTATATGATTCCTCGGTTTATTTGTCAGTGTGTAATGATAAAGATAAACAAATCAAATGGAAAATAAATCTTTTATATTGTTATTTGTATCTCTAAACCTTTTTTCAAAGCTCAACAAAACAGAATGGTTGTGCTATCGAAAACAAACGTTGAAATAATTAAAATGTAACTTTGTGAATGATTTTATATTTTGCTTTCTTACAGAATTAAATTGAAGATATTTATATTTTTCAGACAAATATACTTCCTTTAACCAGCTGCTTTCACTTACAAATACTAAATGCAGCATCAAACAAAGTGAACTCTCTCCATACAACAGTTGGTGTGCTTACTGAACTCAAAAGATTAGAGGTCATAGCTTTTCATGTAGGTATATGCCTGTTTTAACTCACCTGGCCCAACTGTCATCCATCTATATGTTGTGATTAACTTTGAAACAATTGGGCCTAATGTTACCAAAATTTTACTTGAATCTGCCTAAGGGAATCTAGTTTAGAAATTGTATCCAGGGATTTGATGCATAGATAAATAGAACATTGGGGCAAAAAAAGTGATGAATTGTATGAAGGGCTGATACTTAAGAATTTCACTGAAAAAGGGTAAGTTAGATCATGTAGATAGGAGTATAGAGATTTAGACTTGCAACAGGTCACCTACAGACCCCTCAAAAAGTTTTTCCAGTATTTATGAAATTGTTTCTCGTCTACATACATCATATATCCTTTCTTTTCCAGTCATCAAAATCGAGCAATGTTGTTTATATCATATAACACGATTTTTATTTTCTGTGTTTAAAACAGGGAAATCCAATTGAAAGAGAGAAAAACTACCAAACAGATATTTTACGCAGTTCTAATGTAATGACTTTGGATAATATATCAGTCAGACCTTTACCTAAAGAAAATTTACCAAGTGTATGTATAATTAAAAGATATGTTTAAAACATTTGTGTTTAAAATTTGAGGGAAAGTATTGTATAAGCTGATCTATGGAAGGCATAACTTTAATTTCAAATAATTATTATTGTAACATTGACCAGAACTACATATATAATCACATGAATTTTATACATTGAATACACTATTATTTTGACCTATGATACTTAAAACCAGAATTGGCTTTTTTTCTTTAAAAAACTAGGTAATACTGTCTTGAATTTGAATTTTGATGCAAAGGTAATATATAACATTACAAATATGCTATTGTATACATGTACTGTAAACCAACTTATTTTGCAGAAACTTTATTTTGGGATAAGTCTTTTCTTGCTGCCTTTGCGGTGATTATTTTTAGTAATATTTTACCTTTCTTAATGTACTTATATAAGGGAAGACCCAAGTTTTACATGTTCGTGACAATATAGATATGCATTATTTAAAACTAGCTTAAATGTAGATAGTTGGTTTTCATGAATTTATGTTTACAGTATGATGCTGGTAGTGGCAGACATATACAGAATATAGAAACATTAAAAGATGCAGCAAAACAGGCTTTCCAAGAGAGAATGAAAGAGTCAAAAGGGAGGATGGAAGAAAATGTTAATTTTCTACAGAGACGAATAATGTAGGTTACAGATTTCAATAATGAATTATTGGTAGTTTAAAGATAAAAGTATTAGAAATGTGAAATGCTCTCTATATGACTGTGGAGTTTTGCTTATGCAGTTTAGAATAAAAAATAAGAGTAATTTAATATTTGAAATCAGTTTGTATGGTGTAAATGTTTTAAATACCAATCTAAACTGTTCCGCAACCTGTCTAAAGAAAGTTTTAAGAAAATCATTAAAATTGCTACTAGTTTGAAGATTGATTGTACTAAGTGAGGTTTGACTGATTATAATATCATTTGTAGTTTGTACTCCAGGCACTGCAATTGTGTCTAAAAGTTATAAAGTATTTTGACAATTCATGCTTGTTGATACTTTATTCCAAATAAATGTGAGTTGGATGATTTGCTGTGGGCCTGCTGTGATGCAATTCAATGATAATGTCTTGCCTATGGCAAAAGATTCATACGAGATTTGATTACTTATCCGGCTGTGAGAAATATTGCAACTTACACATCTGGCAGAAATAGAAGTGAACACATACTTTCACCAAGATTAACAAAAAATTGTTCCAAAATTGTTCATGTTGAGACCTTTTTCGCTTGATGTTGGCCTCATTACCTGCTCCAGTAGTCAGTTTAACTTTTCATGATTAGGTCTATTCCTGAGTAAATATACATAACAGACGTAGGAGGAAAATTCCATTTGACATATTCTTGATCTCATTATTTGTCTTATTATTAGAATTAAAATATTTTTTTCCATTTTTTGCCTGAAGTATTATTGATAGAGTTGCTTTTATTACCTGTTGTATAGTACTGATTAAGATATAAAAACAAAGAAATTTTTCCCCTATTGCATGTTTTTGTTCATGTCGTAGCCTAAGAAATCATGTTTTTGTTCATGTCGTAGGTAAGAAATCATGTTTTTGTTCATGTCGTAGGTAAGAAATCATGTTTTTGTTCATGTCGTAGGTAAGATATCATGTTTTTGTTCATGTCGTAGGTAAGAAATCATGTTTTTGATGCTGCCTCTTCTTGATTTTATTTAAAATTTGGTGTTGGTGTCAGACATCTAATAATCTCGTAAATTAGACTTAATGGGGTAACGAAGAGCTTCATGCCCTTGTCCATTTCTGAGAGGAGTATGGTGATCCTTGATGTCTATTTTGATTAACTTGTTTGTTGGGTTATTGTCTCATAGACAAATACCCCACAACTCTTTAGTCATATTTTTTTCTAATTTAGAACTACTCCAAAGCAGTAAAATACCAGCTTTAAAGGAGTTCAAAGATTTATTTAATTAACTGTAGTCCTCTTCAAGATTTTTGAATTCTAATAGAAACCATTTTTCTATTTCAGAGATTTACAGAATGAGTATGTTGATTATGAAAATAAACTGAAAACAGATTTAGATGCATGTGTAAGGTAAGATGACAATTATTTTGTATTAGGCTTTGTATTTTATCAAATAAATTGGCCTACCAGCTGGTTAGATGAAGGAAAAGTTTAGTTATTTTTCTCCTGGTCTGTGTTCAAATACAAGATTATATATATTACCATACTGGAATTGAGTTATTTGTTAACTTGGATATCTCCCTTTTAACATTTTTGATTGATTACTGGTAAATTTCAGGTATTTGGATTCGCTCACAGCATCAGAAGTAGGTGGAGTGGACCATGATCAACTTAGAGGAGCAATAGGCACACCCAATTCTAAACCTTGGCATGTAAGTATATTTGTATTTCATCTAGACCTAAGTGTATTGCCATCAGTTGTTGTCTGTGGTTGTCATCATTATCATTGAAAAAAATCTTCTATAAAACCACTTGGACCAAACTTGACCACAATCATTCTTAGTTTATCTATTATAAAAATGCGTAAGGGTTCCGCGGAACCCAGTGTCTCGCCTACTTTTGCTGTTAATCGCAGGCTCAACAAAAATGAGGAAAAAATTAATAAAAATATTCCTCTCTATACTATCTTTTGATTGTAAGTAGCTTCTGTCCAAGTTTGGTAAAATTCCAGGATAGTTTATGAATCTAATAAATGTTTTAAAAACCTAAACTGCAGACTGTATGTAATGTTAACTGGAAGAAAAACTAAGTCCATTTATAAGTAAAATAAGGAAAAAATGGAACAAAATTTTAACAAAATTTCCTTCTAGATACTAGCTTTTAATCATAAACAAGCTTCTGTCCAAGTTTGGTACAAATCCAAGATAGTTTAAGAAAGTTGTTAAAATTTTAAAAACTTTAACCACAGAGTGAATGTAATGTTAACTGGCAGAAAAACTAAGTCCATTTATAAGTAAAATACTGAAAAAAATCTTTTTTTTTTTTTTACAAAATTTACTTCTGGATACTATCTTATGATCATAAACAAGCTTCTTTCCAAGTTTGGTAGAAATCCAGGATAGTTTAAGAAAGTTATTAAAATTTCAAAAACTTTAACCACAGAGTGAATAGTTGTGGACGCCACCGATGACGACGACGTCGACGGAATGTAGGATCGCTATGTCTCGCTTTTTCGACAAAAGTCAAAGGCTCGACAAAAATTATTGGAATATAGAGGTAAAATGCAAGTAATCAGCTTTTATCTTGAAAATGGTTTTAGATAGACAAATTTGACGAGGCGGAATTGCTAAAAATGTTAAGATCTACTACATACCATAATGGCATTAATTTAGATTTTTTTTAGATGACTTTTTAAAGGAATTATTGCCCTCTGCAATGGACAGATGAACAACTGAACATCAAAATTAACGACCTAATTACTCCAGGAAAAATAACATATATTATGCCTTAATATTTAAAATGAATATTGATATGTCAAATAAAACTTCCATTTGATATAGGTCAATAAATCTTATTCATCTATTTAAGATGTATAAACATTATTCTTCAAAATTTCTTGTTTCAGAGGAGAAAGGAAGGAAAACCAGATTATGGAGGAATCAAAGACACAGACGAGGTAATAAAGTCTATTATAAATACATGTATGTCATTTTTAGTTGTGTTTAGGCCACCCTTAAGAAATTCTTTGTTTGATGTTGCCTACCCATGCCTTGTATGGTTGGGTATGTAGGTAGGGATTTTTTTTGTTTTTTTTGCCAACAACATAAGTTACATGTTTGAGACAAGAAAACGACGTTAGAGCAGGAAAAAATCTTTAAAAAAAACAAAACGATTTGTGTCATAAAATTTTCAAGTAGGCTACTTTTTAGGTGGGTAGGAAAACAACATCAAATGATTTGAATTTTATGTTTGGCCTTATAGAAAGAATATAGTGATAGCAGGAAGTATAAAGTTTTCAGCTTATTAACCATGTTTATTATTTGGTCATTCATTCTGATCGTCTGTTAGATAGTTTGAATTACCATGTCCTCATAAACTACTGATGAGCTTTAAAGGGGAAAAATGGTGAGGTTTTTATTTCAAATAATCCAGTACATCAGCAATTTTGCTTTACTTCTTAACAAAGTGAGTTGTTCAAGGTAAACTTACATCACTTTTTTTAACATTCAATCCCATCTTTTTATAACCTATACTTATGGATTCAAATATAATTCCCCCCTTTTGTCTGCCTGTCCACCCAACAAAAACTTTCTGCACATTTTTATCAGAAACTACTACCGGTAAACAGAATGATTTCATATTTAGTCAGCAGCTTCAAAGTAATGAATTGTAAAGTTGGAACACTTTTTCAGATCTGTCAGATACTTACTTCCTGTTTGCCAATACTTTGAATTTTTCAAAATTTAAAATTTGAGAATATCTTTAGACTCATGGAACCTTAAATTGTGGCGCTACCTTGAAATATAAGGAATGTTTAATCTTGAATAATCACAAAAACTGTTGAGATCTCCATCTCTTAACTCTATACACCTCTAAAAGTATTATTATATGCAATAGAAGTTTTTTATGGCTACTTTTATTAATTATTATCCACAGCTATTTTGATTTGGGCCATATTAAGATATGCATTTTAAAATACAGAGCCAGTTGAACCTAAGGCTCATTAAGCAACAGGCACTCAGTATTTCTAGTACACTCTGACTATAATTCCTAAATGAAATAATTAAGGATACTTGATTTAAGGCTGGTTGGCTTACCCTTACCTCTCTACAATTACCATTCCTGAGGATTATGTCTATTCTGTTTTTTTTGTAAACCACAGCACTTGTCTTGGAGCCTTTTAACTACACTTACAAAATAATACAGAAAGGGATTTATATAGGCATACAGTTGTTATCTTTTTTTTTAATTATCATTTCAGTTACTTAAAGCTACACAGAAGGAACTTTTAAGACAGACTCCTGGCATGTAAAAATGTAATACATTCCTGCAATACTTGTATGCAGTATCTGTTGAACTGTGTTCATTATTTTCTAAAGGAGATTGATGTTTTTCAGATTCTGTTTTCATGAATGTTAAGACAAGAGAACACTTTTATTTATACTTGTCATAAGCATTGTTACTATGCAATAAAGTTTATTGCTACTTTGTTTTGACTATTAATGTTTCACTCCACCTATTGAAGTTTTTGACACAGTTTCAATATGTTTCATCAAATCAAGCTGTGTAACTAGTTACTAGCTGTACTGTTTGAATTTGATATAACAAATTGCAGTTGGGTCAGAAGTTTCCAATATGATGAGTGTAAAACTAACAGTCAAGTCACAGTAATTAACCAAATTATTAATGCAGTACAAATATCCCAAATATCTCCTTAATCACAAATAATCAAGTATTCAAAACTCTCAAAAGTTATGAGAGTCTTCAAATGTGAATTTGAATTCTTTTTTTTATATTTTATGATTTATTGATGTATGTTTGTCTGTCCTTCTGTCTATGCTTCCATCAGTCTGTCCCATAAAATTGTCTCAGGAACTGCAAATCAGAGCTTCATGAAATTTTGAAGCAAGCCTTATGAGCATGCTACATGCTATGCAGTTTGATGCCATTTCAAATTCATCTTTTATCAACTTCCTGTTTGCCAAACACTTATATATTGTTACTCATAATTGCCATGTATCAAATGTTCGTCACATTTTTCTCAAGAACTACAGGACTTTCTGAAATATGGAATCAAGCTTCTTGTGAGCATCCTCTAACACGGGAATAAACACAGCACAAAGGAGAAAATTAAAAATAAATCACATGGAGAAAGTATGAATACCTGTCTTTGAATGTAATGGTTCATTTAAACTTGTGAATTAAAAAAAAAATGGAAAGTGTTCATTAAATCTATGTCAAATTATTTTGATCAAATAATTTTTAAAGGACAATGGTCTCAGTTTTACCATACATTCCATTTATTTTGTTATTAACAGTATATATAATATATTTCTTTATTACTCTAGTTGTTAAATGTCTTCCATTTACTGCCCAGATCAATAGGTGATATGTATTCTAGTAGATGACTCTATCTTAAATAGAACCAATCTTAATTGAGTCAAATTTGCATTAAAACTGTTATATTATTGGTTATTATTTTTTTTCCTAATTTATTTATTCATACTGCCCTTATATATTTTGGCAAAGCTTTGTTATATATTTAAGGCTATGTTAGATCTGTGTTAGTGATGATTTTTTTATTGGTTTAATTGGATACTTTTAATGTATTACTGTATGGCAGGATCTATCAAAACCTGTTTCTGTTTTTAAATTTTTGTTTTATTTATCAGCTGCAAAATTTATTTAGATATTTTGACTTATAAAATTTGTTTTCAACTCTTCATTGGTCAAAATTATTATGATGTCAAATATCCTTTCTGTTTTCTGATTATGTCTTTCTTTATAAAACAATAATAGAGATTTTAAAATTCAATATTTTCATGCCAAAGAATAGCAATGAGAAGTCTATAGGACAAATAGTTTATTTTCATAACCTTATATGGTTATAACTGAGATGAGTGTTGAATATACTGTAATATTGAAACCATATCACTAATAATAAAATTAACCTCACCTTTTATTGAACTTCAGTTTTGATATATACACAGTATGATGTATTCATTTTATCTTGAATGATTCTGTATATTTATATTACCAGACCTAACCAAAAGGACCCATATGAATAATTGACATCACTTCAGCCCTTTGTGTAGTGTTAAATGAGAATAACACTTTATAAATTTGGGGCATCCAAAGCACATTTTGGGGATTTACCTTCATCAACCTAAACATTTGAAAGAAAAAGATGTCCAAATAAGTGAGGAGCCTTATGTCTTATAGGACATATAAAAGAAAAGCCAAATCCATCATGTGATGTGTGGAAAAATCTTTTAAACTTTTATTTTAGGGACTGTTTGCACCGAAGTTAAACAGAATTATTTGTAGGATGTACTTTCTTGTAAGTGTCCACTCTCCATTCCTTATTCCTCCAACATCTCAAGAGAGACTCACAATAGGAGATAGCTGTTCAAAGTATGGACCTCCCTTCTAAGAAATGACAAATTTTCACCAACACTGTTTACTCCAATATAACCTGTTGAATTTGTTTTCATATCATAGAAGTAGTTTGTAACCCCTGTAAGTACAAAAAATTTGTCAAGGGCCCTTGAATAGTTATTTATGAATACAATGAAACTGTCACACTGTGATTAAGAGGATGGTGATAAAATAAGAACAGACATCATACTGTGCTGGTTATAGTCTATGTAGATTGATGCGATGTTAAAGCTTTGATTTTGATGGGGATTTGGGCAGGGCAAGCAAAATTTGAATCCCATCTATTCACCTACATCAAGAAAGAGATTTTAGAAGATCACAAATCCGTCCTTCACACATAAAAAGACTCGGAAGGATGAAAATATCCCTTCTGGATACTGGATACACTAAAATCCCTACAAAAAACGATTGATTTTTTGTTTTGCCTGTGACGAAAGTCGCAGTATGCGATACATAGGTATTACTATACGGCGGCAGCTTAAACTATTTTATAAAGCTTTATATTTCAGAAGGTAGGAGACCTGGATGCTTCATGCCTTGTATGCAGATACCTTATGTTTCAAAGTTTCCATCTGTCATATGCCCATTGTCCTTGACCTCATTTTCATCGTTCAGTGACTGCTAGAAAAAAAATTACAGTTTTTTTGTCATGTGAATTTCTCACTTATTATGAATAATAGGATAACTATATTTGGTATATGGGTTCCTTGCAACGTCTACATGTCCATCAGACAGGGTTAACCTGACCTTTACCTCAATTCATGGATCAGTTATCAAGGTTAAAGTTACATGATTAGGTCCGTTTCTCAGATACTACAAGCTGCAGGTCAACAATAAGTGTTGTATGGAATGATTGTAAGGGGTACATGTCAGACTAGCAGGTTTCATCTGACCTTGACCTCATTTTCATGGTTCATTGGTCATTGTTAATTTTTTTGTGTTTTGGTCTGTTTTTCAAGTGCTGTAAGCAAAAGGTCAAATATATTTGGTGTATGGAATGATTGTAAGGTGTACATGTCTGTCTAGCTGGTGTCATCTGACCTTAATCTCATTTTAATGGTTCATTGGTCAATGTTAAGTTTTTGTGTTTTGGTCTGTTTTTCAAGTTATATAAGCAGTAGGTCAACTATATTTGGTTTATGGAATGATTGTAATGTGTACATGTCCATCTAGCCGGTGTCATCTGACCTTGACCTCATTTTCATGGTTTATTGGTCAATGTTAAGTTTTTGTGTTTTGGTCTGTTTTTCAAATACAAATAGCAATAGGTCAACTTAATTGGTGTATGGAATGATTGTAAGGAGTACATGTCTGTCTAGCCAGTTACCTGTTACCTAGCCCTAAGTCTTTATCTTCCTCATCTAACAGGAGTTTCGCTTCTACAGCGTACTTCTTTATTTGCACCCTAACCCTTACACACGGGACACTCATAAAATTGGTTATAGTATATGTTCATAAACGTAATTATTAGAAACAGTAACATATTTACAGCATGCGGACTAATCCATCACCATCTAAACGAAATTAACTATTTATTACTCAATCCACTCGTCTAGATTTCACTATTTATGTATCTATATATTAAACAGGCTAAACACTCCTGCCCTCGTATTAGCGTTTACTGTTCAAACACTATCCTTGTTTATTTGTTATCATAAAATCTAAAAAACTTTCCACTGTTCATTAGGTAAGCAATTATTCTATATATAACACGCAAACGAAGTACTTAAAATCTAAAATCAGTTGATATCTTATAAGCATCGGATACGAGTTTCAGTTCAAACACTATCCACCTCATAATATTGTAGAATAAGAATCACTATATAAATCCTGACAAAATCCAGTAAAATGCAGATCAAATGTATATATCGAAATGTTATCTGATATGGAATATATTTTGTTTTCCTATATACCGCTATACTGAGAATAAATTTACGGGAGCGTCTTTTTACCACAGAACACCACAGAATACCACAGAACACCACAGAATACCACAGAACACCCAAAATTTACCACAGAACTTCGAAATATTAATACTTCAGACATTATTATCATGTTATTGTTCATTCTTTTAATAATTTGACATTTATTATTCAAATAAATTTAATTTTTCTATTTAGGGTCGACTCACTATCGCTATGCCCCCAACGAAATAGCCAATAATTGGGATCATACCGAAAACCCCTAGCTATTAAAACCATAATATACAAAGAGTATTTATATTTGTGACATTTATATTTTAAATACATTTTAATCTTTTTTGAAATTTTTAATTCATTTATGAAAATACGTAATTATTTGTTAAATTTATTTTGTTTATCAGTTTTTTTTTTCACTATTTTATTATTTTTATGTTAAGAGTTGTTACAATAAATAATAAAAATGGTTAATGTGACATTTAATTAAAGTTGTTGTCAACAAATAATTAAACTTTATAAAAGTGATTAAAGGAGTTTTTAAGCTGATATCTAGAGTTGTTTCAAACAATTATTTAAACTTGACTAATGTTTGTACATCAAAGTTTTCTCCTTTAGAGTTACATATAAAACAATCCTGTGTTAAGGGCTACAAATACTTTCAAAAAGATATCTGAACTTGTTGTAGGACAGTTATATTTGAGTTGACTAATAACATATTATAAGTGTGTCTTTTTAATTATCAAAAAGTTCAAGTTCGATGACTGTTTTTGGATTCTTATGTTGTGTGTGTATCTTCTCTAATCATTTGACAATATTTCGGATTTTTACCAAATTTTGTATGCATTTAGAAATCGTTGAACTGAAACTTTATATCGAAAAAACTTGTATATGTAGCATTTACATATAGATTCTATATTTTTGAGACCCAAATTAATGTTGACCTTAGCAAGTTCACCGACACAATTTTTAAAAGTACCAAAATTTAATTAGATTAGCCAATTTTGACACTTGTCGTATTCACCAATCAAGCCAATTAACATGTCATTTAAGTTTTCACACCTGAGACATCAAATATATTTAATTGAATTACCTTATAAAATCAGGTGGCAACTAGAATCCAAACAATGAAGAATATTGTAAATATTCCATTATTAATGATATATATTATATTAAATAGAATGTTGATAGCAGTCTTCCTGTTCTCTAATCATTGTCAAGTAATTTCAAGAATACAATTTTTATAATAATAAAAATTCAAGATTAAAATGTGAGCCGATGTTCAACATCATTTTAGTTGAAAAATTATATTTATTGTCTTATAGGTTTATTCATTTCACAGAAAAAATAGTTACATATGAGAAATATTAACTCTTTCTGCCAATCAAGCCAATATTATTCATAGCGTGATTCGCGCCGGTAAAATCAGTCAGGTCAACTTTTTTTGTAGAAAAACATTTTTTTTACTATAAAGGTTATATTTTCATATAAAATATTAATTAATCTCGCAGATTTCTTAATTTAATGAAAAAATGTTTAAAAAGAAAAAGCGAAATTAGCACTTTCTGTCGATCAGATCAATATTATTCGTAGCGTAATATTCCCTGGTAAAATCCGTCAGATCAACTTTTTTTGTAGAAAAACATGTTTCATTTATATAAAGTTTTTATTGGTAAACAACATATTTAATAAACTCGCAGATTTCTTAATTTCACGAAAAAATATTGTAAAACAAAAGAGATATTGACACTTTTTATCGATCAGTTCAATATATTCAAAGCAAATATTGATCAGCGACTGTGAAAACCGTGCGGTAAATGTTTTTTGCTCAAAACTATTTTTTTAAATGTTTATTTTAGATTTTCATTATTACAATGCATTAGTTTAGTGTCTCAAAGGTCTCCAAATATAAAAAAAATATGCCAAAAAACAAAAAAATTATATCTCATCCAGTCAATCGTCATGTCATTGGTGTAACCCGAATAAAAGAAATAATATAATTCTGAATTATTAGATTTGCGTTTTATAAAGTAAGTTTAATGTTCTGTGGTATATTTCAGTAGATTTATTGTATTTTGTGTAGTTCTGTGGTATATTTTGAGTGTTCTGTGGTATTCTGTGGTGTTCTGTGGTATTCTGTGGTGTTCTGTGGTAAAAAGACGCTCCGTAAATTTACTCTAACCGTGATTAAAAGTAAACGTTTGTGGTATAGTTTGTAACACAGGCCTCTGGTTGATGTCTCTATACGGACCTGTTCCTTAAAGGTAAGAAAATGGTATGTTGTACAGTCTATAATAAGATGAAAAAGATTCTCTTCATCATCAAATAGTTCTTGTATTAGCAAAGACGGCTTATTACTATCTACGAGAAAAGATTTCAGCTCTTGGATAAAGCGATTTCTTATGCTTGACAGCTTTTCACATTTAAGTATAAAGTGAGTCACATCTGGTTCAATGTTACATAATGGACAACTTGCTGAAATACAGTTTTTAAAGGCAGTGCTTTAATGCCTTTCTAGTTGCCGGGTTAATCCTTCCTTCCGCGATATCCAACTTATCTACGTGGGGGGTCATTAGACTCCAAGTAGATCCGGAAATGTTGAATTCTC